CAAAACAGCCAGAACACAGCAGTTTATTTTGGGACAGTAATTTTAATAGTAAAGTTCAGTTTCAGTGAATAGATTCTGCAAGTTGTTTCAACTTTTGACGGATTATCAACTACGTTTTGTTTCTAAAAGATTCATCTTCAGAACCTATGAACGTTTTCCGCTAGAATGATTGGCATATGAGTATTTCGACGACGACATTCTTCTTTGAATTGTGTATGCTTTCGAATATTAAGCGAATCTTATTGAAGAAAGTCTCCTCTGCTATCGTAAATTTGAGCATAATGGTCCGCTACTACCGGGCAGATCCGTTGGACGTTTGAAGCTTAACGTAATGGAGTGTTCTCTCAATTTTAGCTGTGGCTGTTCTCGAAGATGAGACATAAAGCAGCGTCTATAATCCAGTTAATGGCTTCTAAACATTTAACTGCACTCTGTTATCTGCTATAATAAGATATGCGGTAAACGGCGACGATGCGGATCGTGGCGGTTAATTGATGGTACCCGTTAAAGATAATGCGACGCCATTTTGTGGGGGGTTTTGTAGAATATCGACTTAATATTTATCAAAGCGACAATAGCCAAACTGTGAGTGTGTCAAACAGGCCGAATCAAGATTCGAGGAACGCTAGTTCGAACCACTGCTGCTGGACTAAGTATTGTGGTGAACCCACACGCATATTCAGCTTGTATGAGGGGTAAAAAACGGGCTTTGTATTGCAAAAATTACCTACTAATATAATTTAAAATGCCACACCCACAGGGTGGACTGACGACCTGACCTGATAAAAGTAGCAGCACAGAATAATAATAAGTACTACGTACAGAAGTTTTACTTCGCGAAGGTATTTAAAAAAATGTATGCTTAATGTCATTAACAATATGGTGCAATTTAGCCTGTCTCAAGAGTCAAGCACCATTTTGTTGACAAACGTCAGTGATCGGCACTGCGCCGAAGCTAAGGGCTGACTTCGGTAAAATGATGTGACGTGAGGTGCCAAACTGCGGAAAATGGCGGAGGAAATACATGATTTAGCATGAATTATCATGAATAATATTAACTACTTATTTACCTCTCAGTGTCTTGAGGCAACTTAAAAAAGTACATTCTGTGCTTTTATTATTATTTAGGCAGTTAAATACTGCACAGTATTTAGTACACCATTTTCTTTATTTTCTTCCATCATACACAAGAATACGCGTGCGTGAGTCAATGTTCGCTCGTATGTGAGGCCTTGTCGAATAGTATCCTGTAGGTGGGCTATCGTGCGTGTTTTGTTTTCGATGTAAACTCGCGGAGATGAACAGGCCTGGTAGCAGGAAGGCGCTGGATGCAAGCCACTACCAACCGTGCGATGTGGAAGTCATTGGGGGAGGCCTATGTTCAGCTGTGGACGTCCTGTAGCTGAAATGATGATGATAAAATGATGTGGTCAATAAAGAGTTCATCATGTAATGGGCTAATGGCTATGTTCAAGACTTGACAGAAAATCCGGTTGATTCATGCTTTAAATGGTCAAATCAAACGCTCTCAATAAAGTGATATTTCTTACCGCCTGAGAGCGTCCATTTTGCTAACCACCAGACCACGGAGTAAATTGGGGACTTTGGACTTCAGAGTTAAATTGACATCCATGACCAAAATTGCATGTACAGATAGCGGTACGTCAAGCCAAACACAGTGAGGTCTTATGGAGTTGTAATAGAAGCTATTTTTCAACGAAAATGTAAAATCTGATGTCCTGTCGTCTGTACATTCATTGAAAATTAAATCCTTAATTCTATTCAGTATTCATATACCTAATTGCATGTTGCATGAGTACAAATTGCATTGTTTACCTCCCCGTGCCCAAATTGGGACGAAGTTTGACCCGCATTTAAAATAGGTCGCTCTATATTTGGACTCAAACGGCACAGATATGCCTGCATAACCTGCATTATGTCATAACATGTTTGTCCGAATGAATGGTCTTTCAGAGAGGAAGTTAACGCATTGCAGCTTTAAAAGCTTTTAAAATGTTGTGCTGGAGATGTTTCGAATCTTTCGAAAATAAGTAAGCATAACTGCAGCAGAAGTAAAAAGAAAATAGTTCCCTACATTTGTAGGATTGTACAATATTGAAACCCTTAATAGAACACAAGCTTAAGATTTTATTAAAGTAACGATTAGGAGGACCTCATCCTCACTGAGTGGGGTTTAAAGGTGCCAAAGCTGTAGATACTGGCTATACAGAAGTTGTAGATATGGGAACCAGGGACAAATATTATCTGCTGATTCCGAAGAAAGTCTACTGTTTGAGCGTACATCAATAATCTTAATTAAAAAGGGTTATGTCACTTCACAATTCTATTTTATTTTAGTGACCCAAAACTTATTGTTTCAGCAACCCGTTTTTAATTTACATAAAATCCTTCTACCATGAATACTTCATCACGCCAACATTCCCGCCCATCTAACGAGCTCATCATTTAAATAAGCAAAAGTAATAATTCAGCACTGAATGTGGGACTTAGTATGTAAATGACCAGTTAAACCGTCTATCGTCCTAACTACACACATAAGGTTCACTTTCGTACATACGCGGAGTTTCCACAATGACCGATGGAAACCCTACATTTATTTTCCTAGCTGAACGGGGACATCGTAAATCTTCGTTAAGCTTCGTTTGTTTAACTTTGCCGCGGAAAGCGTCCCTGGACCAGCGAGGTGTTAGGCACTAAACGATTGATGACAACGGTGCACCTTCTGTTTAAACGTAAGGTTTACTCTATGATTATAAATTGCCTGTACTAATAAATAATGATACACACATAGGCAAAGAGAGGGCCGATACCCATCTACGGACGTCCATGATATCCAATTTTAGGCCAGCGAAAAAATAAAGTAATATAACGTTTATTTTTGAAGTAGTGAAGATCCCATATTTTTGCAATTTTCACATACCTAGAATTAATTTCAAAATTTGTGTCCAGAAATATCTTCTTGATTCTTCTGGCTCTATAAATTCAGTATCCAAGAGATGATAGAGCTTATATCTGAGTTCGATAGCTGATAAAGCTTATTTTTGCTGTGAACTAGTGAAGCGCCATTTTTGGACTGCAAATGCATTATGCATGCCCATCGGCCGCGGGGCGGCAGTGGGCTATGTGGGGGTGTCTCCCCACCACTTCCAAACAAATCTTTCAAAGGCTAACGTTATTTTAGCTTTACGTTCAAGTCTCCTCTTTTCACCGCATTCAGTTGGTACTTTCTCGAGTGTATTTACTGTGTGTAGTAAAACAAGTCGTCTTTCAAATGTGTATATTGTACAGAATATAGATGATGATACAACAATCAAACCATAGTCATTTTAGCCTCAAAAAAGCTGTTTTGCAACGTAATGTAAGTTCAGATAATTCCCATCTCTTGCCTGTACATTCTAGTGCAACACTGGCGAGTTCTCACGAATAACTGATCCTCACTATTATGGTTTTTTAGTTGTTATTATTAAAATCTCTAGCACTTCTTCAAGTGTGTCTTCAAATTTGTGAAAATAAAGATATCTTAACACGTCTGACGCTTACTTTACTCATGGTACATAGCCACCAGCATCACGTAATCCTCAAGACATTAACCACGCCACAGCCCCCAAGAGACACATAATGCCGTCATTACTGGATAGCCCGGACGCCGCCGGACGCGGCCGGACGCGCGAATTATTCAGCATTGTGCCGGACTAACGAACCGTGGACGCAGTGGCGTAGATACAGATTGTATAATTGAATCGGACGTTTGATTTAATTTGGGTGTTTATGGATGACCATGGGCATGGTGAAGGTTCAGTGGTTATTGTCGGAAAATTACAATTGAAAAAATATTTTAACTTCTCATCAATCATATGTTCCCGATTTTAAGCTCTGTCTTGGAACTCTTGGAAAACACACTATGAGAAATAAGAATGTCTGCCTTTTTAATCTATTCGTCTATTTCTTTCCCTGGACTCGCTAAAATTTAAATCTAGGGTGTGCTCCTGCAGTATTTACCTGACGATGAATAATACACGAAAGTATTTTTTTTTTGTCCACAACGAGGAAACTCTTGGTCTGCATTTCCCCTGATAAAAAGTGATGATCAGGCCGAGGGTGTAAGCGAGGTTCACCCGGAATCCACAACCACAGAGGAACCGGCTATCTTACCTCTAACTTAACATTGTTGTTATGGCGACAGACTTAGGAAAGTTGGTTTCCAATAAATCTAGCTACTTTTACCTCCAAGTACAAAAGATATCGTAAAGTCAATCAATTTACGATCAGATGAAGTCAGATGCGTTAAGGGTCCATAAAGCTGGTCTACCCAAGGGCTCCTGCGTCAGCTGTACTGTTGTTTTAAGGCGAGACAACTTTTAATGGCTGACAGTAAAAGTGTCTGGAGGGATCCTTTTATGGGTCTTTAAATGTCAACGATGAGGAAAGGGTTTCTGTTAGGGATATATTAAGTCCGCTACAGAGCAATAAACACAGTGGTTGGTAGTAACATAATAAATATATTGGTATCAAAGCACACGTAGAATATTTACAATAGAGAGTTCGGCACAGCCATTACACAGCTAAAGACAACATCACATTTGATTATAAATGACAGTTCTATCATAGCGGTTCCAGCTAGCCAGCTCTACGTTATACAGCATGAAGGTGCTCATCAACAGTTTCTCATTATGGTTGACGTGGTTAACCAGGGTTCTCGTAACAATCATAAATGTGGGTTTCTGTTACATTATAATAGTCTTAATAGAAATATTATTACCTGACTGGTTACTGTGTAAAAAAAATCGAGATCCCCATCAATCAATTTGTACTGTTTATTATCCCAGAAGTGTATCATAAAATGTTTGATTTTAGTCTCACATAAACAGGGATATCAATAAACGATCCATAAAATGAAAATAGTATTCATGAATAATTGAAAATCTTTAATGAATTTTTTGTGAGAAAACGTAAGGTTGCTGTTGTGTTGGAGGAATTAATTTTGCCTTCTGGGTCTAGACCTTCTTTTTAGTCTTGGTCACGAAAGACGCCGTCGCATACGCCTTCATGATGGTCTCCGTGGAGCTGGTGTTGGTGAGCTCCACCTCGATCTTGGCCTTGGAGATGGGGAACAAATTGGGGAAGTTATCGCCTTGCAGCGTCATATTCTGCAGTTTGTATTCTCCCTGAAAAGCACAAAAATATTCTTTAATTGTTCGAATAAGCAACTGTGGCTGTCAGTTCACAAGGATTGATTTGTTTTTTGAGTTAATAGAAAGAAATTAAGACACTGAAGTTTAAACGACAGTGGCGCCAGTGGCTAAGGATATAGCATCGCTTCTTTCTACTTAAAAGGAATACCTGTGGAAAATTTAACTTTCAAAGTTGTACAGTAAGTTTAAGCTGGGCCACGCTGGGCGTTGATGAGTCAGTAAATTATAAAACAAAGTCCTCCACCGCGTCTGTCTGCATACGATAAACCCAAAACCTACTGAACAGATTTTCATGCGCTTTTCACCATAAGAATCGAAGAGACCATTGGACAGTTTTATTACAGTTGTTCATGGCTTGTTGTAGAAGAGAGTATTTACCGGTGGCGCAGGACAAGGGGCGCCATGTTTGGCGAGCATGCCTCCAATGTAAGGGTCTGTTTTCATCATCTTGCAAAACATGCTGTGGACCTCCACGAAGGACCGCCGGTACTCGTTGTGCAGGTACTCGTAGAATATCAGGTGCATCTGTCGATCAAACATGGTAATAGCATCACAGTTTTTGTTACTTCTTCTTCCTCGGGGGAGTCATCAGTGAGGGATCACTGATGAGGATCGCGACCACATACAGTGTTCCTCCATAGACTGCGGTCATAAGCTGTGTGAATGTATTCAATCTTAATTAAATTAACTATTTTAATTTTTGGATGCAGGCCACTACTAACCGGTTAATCTGGAAATCACCAGCTTATTATATGATGAAGATAAAACAGGAATATTTCCACCTCTCGTTCCCACCGAGGCAACTCCTATGGAGCCAGGATCTATACATATTTTGAGCGCCAGTAAAAACCCAACCGGTAAAGTTCGAGTTTGTCCCAGGGGACAGTTAAAAAACTGTTATTGGACCCGCTGCGATATTAATCAAAATAACATAGGAGGAGTTCGAAGTTAAGGTTTGACTTCGTGATCTTCGATGATGGTAGTTATTGAAATAAATTATAGTTTGTTAAGACCAGTCTATTTGATTCATTATTATCATCAGGTCATTTAGTCTCCACAACCCTCTGCAATCTACCAGAGGAAAATTAAGGACTTGGTCTGCACATTTGATTGGGACACAGCGCTTTAAAAAAGAAAATTCCTATAAGTTGAACAAGTCTGTGACTCGCTTTTTACCGTGATGTTGTCAGCCCAAGTATGTTTGATGATTCCTTCCAGGTTCATGTAGTACCTACTTTTCCTCCCGTATCTGGATATGTACAGTCTGCCATACTCCAAGTATTTTTTGTTTATGTACGTCACGTTTGCTCGCTCCGGGATCAATTGCAAACACTGCAATGTGGATTTTTGTTAAAGATACTTTTTCACAATTATATTTGTTTTTTTTTTTTGCATATTTATATTGCTTTTGGTGTCAATTCAGATCAATACCTAACAAATGGATTTTTTTATAATATTGTTTTTATAGAAACTGTCTACATTGTCTCGTACCTATTTATTTTAAATAATTTTTATCCGTTATATTAATATTAAATGAAAATGTTACAAATAATGACTGTGACTTACGTGAAAAAAACTTAAAGAGAGCAGGAATATTCCAACGCTAGCAACACGCATTTTAAATTCGTGTGCGGTTTTCGAAATGCCCATGAATAATAACAAATATACCCACTTAATGCTATTATCCTAAACTGAACGATTTATAAAGTTAAATTCGTTAAATTATACCAATTTTCCATAATTAAGTGTTACCTACAGCACCTCTACCTAGCTTTATGTATCGCCAGAAACGAAAATGTAAAAAGGTGCCAAGATTTCCAAGGGTGGTGAGCGTTTCAAATTGTTACGTTGTTTTAAGTATAGATATCGCTTAATAAGGTTGTAATTTGGATGCAATAAGTCTTGCACTGCTTTTATTTTTTATTGAAAATCCTGTAATTGGAGGAGATTTTACTAAGCCCGGTCTGTGAGCACGTAGAAACGCAAGCGTTTCCTGTGCAAGTATTCAAAATATTGGTCAATATTTAACATATTATTGATAATTGAATACCAGGGGCCAAGCAGGGGGGACAACAGGACTGCACCGAAAATATAAGAGTAGTTTAAAATATTTAAATGATTGTGCCAGCCGCCAGTCTGCTTGTGATCACGGAATGAAAACTCCTTTTTTTCTATGCAGTTATTATTTTTGATTTGAATTTTGAAAGCTATGAAAAGCAGTAATATCAGAAAAGATGGCGATGTTTAAAGGCCTCCCCCAATGCTTTCCACATCGCACGCTTTCCATTTTCTTCACTAAACTTTGAAGTTTTGGCGAAATCCAATATCTAATTTACTACAAGTGATATAGTTATTATTATTGGAAAGAAGAGAAGCTAAAGATGTTTTTTAATGATCTTCAAAACAATCCATTAACACATTGTTTTAATCAATTTCTTAAGTGTTTTATCGTGTTTTGTACTTTTGTTAAGCTTTGGCGGCTCGTAGCGTCGTAATTAGCTATCCAATCATTATCTGGATACAAAATGTTTTTATTATTAGACTAAAGACATATTGGATATTAATAGCAAATAAAAAGTCGGTTGAAAACACGTGAGAAAAAAAAGCAGGTTTAGGTCAAATTTCGGAAAAAATTAAATCAAAAATATAATTAAAAAGCTAATTTAGGGTTGAATGGGCGAACTTCTTCTTCTTCTTTGTTAAACGTTCTTCCAAACACCTGTATACTTTATAATATTACTAGCTTTTGCCCGCGGCTTCATCCGCGTGAAATTTAGTTTGTTACATATCATCATAAAGCCTATATGTTATGCTGGGTTATAAACAATAATACTGTAAAGTTTCATCAAAATCCGTTCAGTAGTTTTTGCGTGAAAGAGTAACAAACATCCGAACAGGAAGTAGGATTATCAGGGATCGAAATAGGTGGTATAAATTTACCTTACGAGACAATTGAGCTGGATGAATCGAAAATTCCCTGGGAATAATTCAAATTTTTTTTGGGGACCTATGAGATAAAAAGACTCATACCATCCAAAACCAATGGAACAATGGAGTACCTTGCAAATTACCAATCGAAACGCAAAATGCACAAAAGTGATGTGATTGTTTCCACTAATGTAACTGTTAATTATAGAATTTATATAATTATTTGTAGGTATTTTTTGTTGTCTTGTGATTTCCTATACCTAAGTGCATTGTTTTATTATTATTACCTATTAAAAATATGTCTCGTCTCGAAGTTTATATAAATTTAAAATAAATAGATAAATCAGACAAATAAATCTAGAAAAAATAAATAATCAGCATCTTGCGTACTATTTTTATATAATTAATATTATCTTAAAATTTGTATAATGCCTATACTTATTCAAAATGACGTACTCATATCACTAATTCAGCCGCCGAACTACTATGAGTACCGAGTGTGCCGTCTGCGCTATAAATTCTTTAAAGAAAAACAAAGGAGCGGAGCGGGCCGAAATGCGACACAGCCTCCCCGTGCGAACGCTAGTGAAAGACTGAGCTCCCGCTATCGCGCGGCCCGCGTGCGGAAATTACAGGGTATTTTGATTGTATGACACGTAATACATTATTTTTTTAAAAAAACGAACAACAATTTTTTAGACAATTAAATTTTCTATCATTTGGTGAAAGAATCATTAAAATCGCTTCAGCCGTTTAGGAGTAGTAGGAAATTTATTTGGTGAAATTAAAAGAAAGTTAAGAATTTTTTCTGTCAAAACTAAAAGTTGTAACAAAAAAAAACGAACAACAATTTTTTAGTTTCAGATATCATACATCTCATACATATTTTTTTTTCTTGTTTGGATCATCCATTTAGGAGGAGTAGGGATTTAAAGAGAGGTCTTTTTTGCAGTTTTGCCTCACCTATCGCCTTAATAGAAATATTATTACCTGACTGGTTTCTGTGTAAAAAAATCGAGATCCCCATCAATCAATTTGTACTGTTTATGATCCCAGAAGTGTTACATTATTATTATATAAACTATTTAATTTTAGTCTCAGAGAAACAGGGCTATCAATAAACGATCTATAAAATGAAAATAGAATTCATGAATAATTTAAAATCTTTTATGAAAATTCTTTTGGAATTTTTCATTTTTTGTGAGAAAACGTAAGGTTGCTGTTGTGTTGGAGGAATTAATTTTGCCTTATTTATTTATGCATTTAAAATCTTTATTGCACACATAGAAAACAGTGGTACAACAGGCGAGCTTAATGCCGTGTGGCATTCTCTTCCAGCTAACCAGAAAATTAGACAAAACAGAGAATTTAAGTAGGCGGTGCAAAATAGTACAAATACAAAAAACAAATTCTAATATAATACATAAAATATTATAATATTATATATTAATACAAATTAATACAAAATATACCTACATAAATACATGCATGTACGTACATAATATAAGGTGGATAACGAGAAGGTTTAAGAGAGATCAAGACGACGAGATACGTTCTGGGTCTAGATCTTCTTTTTAGCCTTGGTCACGAAAGACGCCGTCGCATACGCCTTCAGGATGGTCTCCGTGGAGCTGGTGTTGGTGAGCTCCACCTCGATCTTGCCCTTGGAGATGGGGAACAAATTGGGGAAGTTATCGCCTTGCAGCGTCATATTCTGCAGCTTGTATTCTCCCTGAAAAGCACAAAAATATTCTTTAATTGTTCGAACAAGCAACTATGGCTGTCAGTTCATAAGGATTGATTTGTTTTTTCAGTTAATTGAAAAAAATTAAGACACTGAAGTTTAAACGACAGTGGCGCCACTAAGGATATAGCATCGCTTCTTTCTACTTAAAAGGAATTCGTTCGTTCGTTCGTTTCAGCCGAAAGACGTCCACTGCTGGACAAAGGCCTCCCCCAAGGATTTCCACAAAGACCGGTCCTGCGCTGCTTGCATCCAGGTACTTCCCGCGACCTTCACCAGATCGTCGGTCCACCTAGTGGGAGGCCTGCCCACGCTACGTCTTCCAGCTCGTGGTCGCCACTCAAGAACTTTTCTGCCCCAGCGGCCATCTTCTCTTCGAGCTATGAGCCCCGCCCACTGCCACTTGATTTTAGCGATTCTGCGGGCTATGTCAGTCACTCTGGTTCTCCTACGGATCTCCTCATTTCTGATTCGATCACGCAGGGAAACTCCGAGCATAGCACGCTCCATCGCTCTTTGGGTGACCTTGAGCCTTCTTATGAGGCCCATAGTAAGCGACCACGTCTCAGAGCCATACACCATCACTGGCAACACACACTGGTCAAATACTTTTGACTTGAGACACTGCGGTATTTCGGACGTGAGAATTTCGCGAAGCTTCCCGAACGCTGNCCACTTCGTCGTCGGGGTGTTCCGTGGTCGGTGCGTATACCTGTATGACCTTCAGCGAATACCGTTTGGTGATTCTGAGTATAAGGTACGCTACCCTCGCCGAAACACTCTCGATCTGGACCACGTTGTTGACAAGGGACTTGTGGACGATAAACCCGACACCACCCTGGGACTGCTGGTCGCCCTCCCGGAAATAGAGCAGGTTTCCGGATTTCAGGATTATGGTGTCCTCCCCCTCTCTTCGGACTTCGCATAATCCTACGATATCCCACCGCAACCTGCTCAGTTCTTCCTCGAGTTCGGCGAGCCTCACGTCAGTCCGCAGCGTGCGAGTGTTAAATGTTGCCAGGGCCAGAGGTCGTCGGGGTTGGTAGCCTGTCGGTACCCGGTGATTCTTAGCACCCCTCGCCCCACCGTTACCGTGACCGCTACCGTGGCCCGGGATAGTGGGGCCGCCGGGGACTAGGGGCCGTGTTTTTTTGTTCCTCTCCATGGGGGGGATTTGCCTTAATCGCCACGCTTGGCAGGCGGGTTGGCGATCGCAGTTTTTTATAAGGTTTCGCACGCAGACGCTGCTGCCCGTCCGGTGCTGCAGGGATTTTGTCGCCTCTTACGACACGCCTCCTGTTGGCGGTGGGGAAGAGTATTCTTTATGGCCGTCCCCACACGGCACGGCACGGCACTTAAAAGGAATACCTGTGGAAAATTTAACTTTCAAAGTTGTACAGTAAGTTTAAGCTGGGCCACGCTGGGCGTTGATGAGTCAATAAATTATAAAACAAAGTCATCCACCGCGTCTGTCTGCATACGATAAACCCAAAACCTACTGAACAGATTTTCATGCGCTTTTCAACATAAGAATCGAAGAGACCGTTGGACAGTTTTATTCCAGTTGTTCATAGCTTAGCTTTGTCAGACATGGCTTGGTGTAGAAGAGAGTATTTACCGGTGGCGCAGGACAAGGGGCGCCATGTTTGGCGAGCATGCCTCCAATGTAAGGGTCTGTTTTCATCATCTTGCAATACATGATGTGGACCTCCACGAAAGACCGCCGGTACTCGTTGTGCAGGTACTCGTAGAATATCAGATGCATCTGTCGATCAAACATGGTAATTAGCATCAGTTTTTGTTACTTCTTCTTCCTCAGGGGTACTCATCAGTGAGGGATCACTGATGAGGATCGCGACCACATACAGTGTTCCTCCATAGACTGCGGTCATAAGCTGTGTGAATGTATTCAATCTTAATTAAATTAACTATTGTAATTTTTGGATGCAGGCCACTACTAACCGGTTAATCAGGAAATCACTAGCTTATTATATGATGAAGATAAAACGGGAATATTTCCACCTCTTGTTCCCACCGAGGCAACTCATATGGAGCCAGGATCTATACATATTTTGAGCGCCAGTAAAACCCAACCAGTAAAGTTCGAGTTTGTCCCAGGGGACAGTTAAAGAAACTGTCATTGGACCCGCTACGATAAAAATAACATAGGAGGGGTTCGAAGTTAAGGTTCGACTTGGTGATCTTTGATGATGGTAGTTATTGAAAGGAATAATAGTCTGTTATGAAATGAAATGAAATAATATATTTATTTGCTTCAATCTTGAGTAATACAGTAAGGTGTTCTTAAAATGGTTTGTTCGTCAAAATCTACTTATATAAAAGCATGCAAACCAGCATGTTAGACCAGTCTATTTGATTCATTATTATCATCAGGTCATTTAGTTTCCACAACCCTCTGCAATCTACCAGAGGAAAATTAAGGACTTTGTCTACACATTTGATTGGGACACAGCGCTTTAAAAAAGAAAATTCCTATAAAATTATCACTTCACGGGATTTATTGCAACAATATCTATTTTAACGGTAAATAAATAAAAAAATAATAATTTTATAGTAAAAATGCAACATAATAGTTTAAAATATTAAGCCTAAGTTATTATAAGTTCCTATAAGTTGAACAAGTCTGTGACTCGCTTTTTACCGTGATGTTGTCAGCCCAAGTATGTTTGATGATTCCTTCCAGGTTAATGTAGTACGGACTTTTCCTCCCGTATCTGGATATGTACAGTCTGCCATACTCCATGTATTTTTTGTTTATGTACGTCACGTTTGCTCGCTCCGGGATCAGTTGCAAACACTGCAATGTGGATTTTTGTTAAAGATACTTTTTCACAATTATGTTTGATTTTTTGTTGCATATTTATATTGCTTTTGGTGTCAATTCAGATCAATACCTAACAAATAGATTTTTTTTATAATATTATAGAAACTGCCTACATTGTCTCGTACCTATTTATTTTAAATAATTTTAATATTTAATGAAAATGTTACAAATAACGACTGTGACTTACGTGAAAAAAACTTAAAGAGAGCAGGAATATTCCAACGTTAGCAACACGCATTTTAAATTCGTGTGCGGTTTTCGAAATGCCCATGAATAATAACAAATATACCCACTTAATGCTATTATCCTAAAGAGAACTATTTATAAAGTTAAATTCGTTAAATTATACCAATTTTCCATAATTAAGTATTACCTACAGTACCTCTACTTACCTATGTATCGCCAGAAACGAAAAATGTAAAAAGGTGCCAAGATTGCTGGGTGGTGGGCGTTTGAATTGCTACTTTGTTTTAAGTATTTATAATGCTTAGTAAGGTTGAAATTTGGAAGCAATAAGTCTTGCACTGCTTTATTTTTTATTGAAAATCCTGTAATTGGAGGAGATTTTACTAAGCCCGGTCTGTGAGCACGTAGCTAAACGCTCGCACACTCACTGCGGGTGCCTGTCGCACAGTCGCGACAGCAATATAATTACGCGCGAGCGATAAGGATGGGTAGCTTGGGGTCATTGGACAAAGTTCTACGTGCTCACAGACCAGACTATAGACACGATCATCTTCCATTAGCAGGTTCCTATCATACATTTGTGTATGATTGGAGGGAAATTGAAAGTGACCCGACATGGGTCGTATTTCACCATAGCTATTAAATATTTGACGTGGTTGACTGGTAGAGGATGCCACCCGGCATTAACTTCGCCACTGTACATCACTTTTATGTGCAAAAGTTTCAATAAATAAATGTGTCGCCTCTTTGCTATCTAAACTTGGCCGTCGCACTTCCGTGTGCTCTGTCGATGTCGGCGAATGGTGGTGGTAAACGCGTTCTGAAAACTGAACGGTTTTATTATGGTGCTAAATAATTGAACCATGAAATCATAGCTTCAGTGGAAACAGCCCATATTTAACTGCGTATTTCAGTACTCATAGTAACGATAGAGAGTTCAAAGACAACGCTAGAAATATATATATTTTTTTAATATTTTGCTGCAAAGGTTGTTCATAGTCAGCAAGGTGGTTGCACTGCGATTATTACATTTTGTGTGATGCTGGGGTTATACTCCCAGATATTTAGAGGGTAATCTGTAATGTATAGTAATGATACATCCATCTATCCGTCCTTTGAGTTACAGGAATGTGAAAGGAATTTTCGTTATAAAGAAAAGGAACTCTGGTCTTTTAATCTGCCGGTCTGGCTAATGAAGAAATTAAGCAAAATTTCAATTTCAGAAGAAACTGGGTCGCCAAAGGGTGATGTCAAAGGGTGCCGAGTCATTTACGTTATTGGCTTTTGGAGACTGCTAGAAATCATACCCTTTCTTGGTACTCAAAATTACTTATTTCTGACGAATATTCGGAACTATGAAACCTTCAGATTTAGGCTTGAAATATTCAAGCTTGTTGTTAGTGGAATTTGGATATTTAAAGCAATCAGTTATTATTATTATTTATTATGTATCATAATATGAACCTTTATAATACGAGACAATTAGATTTTAATCAGGTAGAGTTACAAAAATAAGTCGTTTATTTACGCACGTTGATGCCTATCGCAACGAGTGGGCGGAATAATAGGGTCTTTTTTTAAATCTAATCGTTGTATATTTTTACTAAACATGGCTCCATGTGTGACTATATTCTGGATATAAGTATCTAAATAGTATTCCTATTATAATCCGTAACCATACAGCTAACTTTCATCGTCCTTCACCAGATCATTATTAAGAACAGGCTGCTCAAGATATTTCTTGATGCAGGATGAAACAATGGATGAAAGATTTTTCAAATCGGTCCAATAGTTTCGGAACCTATTAAATTCAAACAAACAAACAATCAAATATTTCCTCTTTATGATACCAGTATAGGTATTCGTAGATTAAAATATAATGCCGTATAGTGAAATTATACCCCTTTAAAAGCCCGCTGCTTGCCTGCCTAACCCTCGACTCTTCATCAAAAACCATAAGTCAGCAAGCTGAATACATAGACCTAATTTAATGAGCACACCAAAAAACTTGCCGCCTTTGTGAATATTGTACAGCGGCCTTTTGAGCTCAACGAGACACGTAGCACTAAAGGGATCGGCCAAAGGAATCTTTGATGAGGCAGTTTTTTCCAGGATTTTTTCTGGGAATAAATATTTATTCGTAATCCTGTCGGGCAGCAGTACTGAAGCATTTCCTAATATCGTTGAATAATAAATAAAATGTAAATGGAAGTAATCCTATTATCTGGACCGATCAAGTGAAATCGGCAGATGGAGATGGCATATGTGACTGCACCAGACAGTCTGCCAACAGAGAGAGATGGCGGGAGATCGCGCGGAGAGTTGTATCCGCCACCACAACCGATGTGAATAACGCCTCAACGTGACTAAGAGAGCGAAACGAATAAGAAGAAGAAGAATCCTCTTACTCCTATCTTTGTATTCTTATATTTTTAGTTTTTTTTTGCCTTCTGGGTAATAAATGCCGATAAACGGGAACCATTTTTAGCCTGTTTTAAAACAAGATTAACGATCAATCTATTACGATCAGTATAAATTACGCTATTACTCGTATACTTCACAATATTTGAAGATGAATCAGATATCTTCCATATTTTATCAACTCTTTACTGAATTCTACTTCCTTGACAAATCACACAACTTATGACCAAGCGCCTACTTCAAGAAAACTACCCACCATAAATCACAGATCTCCTGACTTATTCAAATCGATATAGCCGTCTCACTCTGCGAACAGAGCTTCGTCTTTGTCTGGCTTGAGCAAAGTGTCCTAATTCGCTGGTGACCTATTTTGCTAAGAGGCATTCTACTGAAAGCTTTTAGTTTGAGGACTTTCTCAAACTAAAGCTCAGTATCATTGGAATCTCCGAGCATATCCTGCTCTATGTACACTCTGGAATTTAAAACTTTGATTTCATATATTTTCTAAATTCGAGTTCAGATCTCTATATAATAATTACATAGCTATATAATAATTATAATTGTAATTGTAATTTATAATAATGATTTTTTATGCACAAATTCACATGCCAGCTACGCTGGTGAGATAAGCTGCACCTCTTTTTAATTTAAGACCACATATTTTATTGTACCACATTATCTCGGTGAATAAATAATCTTTGAATCTTTGAATCTACAGATTATGAATTAATATGATTCTTTGTATACTCAGCGTCAAATATGTAGTTCGTGACACCCAAATTATCCAAAAAGTTCGCAACACTTCACAACACGATTGTGTTGTGAACTTTTTGGCCACTTGGGTGTCACGAACTATTTGACGCTGACTGTAATAGCTGGGCCAGATGACACGTTTTAACTCACGCGTTTCAAATCGCGCGATATTGAGATACTCTATTCTAGAATCTAAATATCGCGCGAATAAAAACGCGTCATCTGGACCAGCGATGGAGGACTGTTGTGGACGCCCTCTGCCCCGTCTAGGGGACATAGGACCATAAGTCAAGTAATTCATCTGGACCAGCACATAATTCAGTTCACTTTTGTTGATCTCGTGTGAATTTTAGAGGTTGAATATTTTTAGCAAGCAATAAGAAGATAGGTTATACTTTGTTTGTTGTTTGGGTTTCATTTCCTTTAATATTTTTTAGGGTTGAATAAGGAAAAGAATCCTAAAATTATAAGTTGGTAATTAAGTAATTTCATGCTTATTTATATCCCCAACCCAAACCGTCTGGCCAGCGTGGGGGGTGTGTAGGCCAAGTCCTCCATTTGCCTCTGGTAAATTAGAGAGGGTCTTGCTCCTGCAGTGGAGACTGAATGACCTGATGATGATGCTTATTTAAATTTTGTTTTAGAAAGATATGTTTTAAGATTTTTAGATGCCATAATAGTCCACAGAACATTACCTACAGCTATGTTTCCAAGCGCATAAGCCATTCTGTTATCTGACCTACATATTCGCTAATGGTGCGGCCTCCCACTTCCTCCATTAATTTGAGAGCCCTCTGGAACCTCGCCGTGTTCATCAGCAGCATCGTTGACCTCCATTTTGGAAATCCAAACTTCGATCTAATATCTAACGCACTAGATTTCGCCATCCGAATACTCGCTCCATTTAACAGAAACGTATTGCATGCCTACTTTAGTGTGACTTTGACATTTTACATTTTACAAGTAAGCGATCATTTTAAGCTAAACGAAACAAGTAATACAGCAGCCGCAGCGAACTTTGGTTTTAATTATTTCCAAAATGGATTAAGAATTGTACTTACGATAACTTCTCTATCCTTTATAGCTCTATGCTGCCACACTACATTGAATCATTCAGATTTTGGAAATCTATATTGGAATTCTTTGTTAATAATAGGTACTAATTTTACCGCTTTGCTTTTTAGCTCGGAAAAGAAAGACATTAGCGCTTATTAAAGTTTCGAACAAAGGAAAATTTTTCAGATTTTTCTGTTCTCAGCTTATCCAGTGTTAACTGTAAAGTTATTAAGCTAACGACTACTTTCTTGTTTGGCAAAAAACTTTTAATAGCTTTATGCATTGTGTTTTGCAAGTTAAGAAATATACTGTGAACTACCACAATGTAAGCTTAGAAAAACTTAGTTCAATAAAGCCATTGTTACACTCATACACTAAAAAAACAGGATTTAGAAAAATACATTTATTTACACTTTTAATCTTTACTATTTAACATCCAAGTCTATCGAATCTGCCAGCTTCCTCCCCTTAGTCTCGGGTAAGCAGCAGCAGGCCACTATGGCCAGTAGTGGGGCGGTCGCGAAGACCAGCGGTGGGACCCACGCGCCCTGTGCCATCCCAGCGACGAAGGGCGCCAGCATGGAGCCAAGTCTTGAGGTGGTGGAGGAAGCGCCGACCGCCATGTTGCGGGCTACCGTCGGGAACAGCTCCGATGTGAATGTGTAACTGGAAACCATAGGAAGATATAATTTTTAACCACTTAGGGAACATGAGAATCTTCCTTCCTAAGTGTGGTAATAAACCGAAGTCAAGGGTCGAAAAAGAGCGAGAAGACATTATAATTATTAATTAAACATCATGTTTTGATCTTTTATAAATAAGTATGACAAGTATAATCTAAGGCAGCGTGTTTCAACCTGTGTTTCAAACCGCGCTGGGAGGTCATAAAAAGTACTTCAGTAAAAAACTTTGTGAAAATGATCAAAAAAGATAGAAACAAGACAACTTATACTTATCGGTAGCGAGTCTTTGACAGAACTATGATAGTGTTCTCAAATGCAGTCGGAGGCATCAATTGCAAATCGGGGGGTCGCAAAATATTTTTCCTACTAGGGGGGTCGTGTCACCAAAAAGGTTGAAAACACTGATCTAAGGTATTATACATTGGATCTTGCATATGCTGCTGGTCAGAAGATCGTACTGTTTGAGCTTTCAATTATGAATGAACAGTGTACATAATCTTTGTAATAATTATAAACACTGAAGAATGCCTTACGTTACATTTGATAGTAGAGTTGATGAAGATTTAAATATTAATTCATACACACAAAACTCACATTATGGTAAATGCGCCCGCCGCTGCACTGACGGCCACCGTGCCAGTCACAATCTTCAAGTAGAACCAGTCGTCTGGCATCGCCAGGAGACCGTTGCACACGCCGCAGATGAACAAGAACCCGATAGCAGACTTACGGCGACCCATGCGCTTCAGCAAGTATCCCGATATGAGCTGGCCTGGTACCTGCAATGATTAAATAGTGTTAGTGAAACAAGAAATTATAGAGATACCAGTGTGTGTTGCCAGTGATGGCATACGGATCTAAGACGTGGGCGCTCACTATAGGCACAAAATATAACAGAAGGTAAACTCATGTATGTACCTCGCTTTGCATACCTCGCTCGCTTGCACGCTCGACCGTCGCGCTAGGGCAGGGTTGTCTTGTCATATGTTGCGTTTATTTCGTTATGATAGTAAGTAATAGTTCCTAAACAAATACACAAGAAGGAAGTAGTATGTAGTCGAGTGGTTGGCACTATTATCCAATAATTCCTAAAACCTCTTTAAAACAATTCGATATTCCTAATAATTGAGTTGGATTTCAATTTATCAACGTTAATTGAAATACAAATAAATACCTTACTTACCTCCCGGAATCAACTGGTAGTTAAACAACGAAAATTTAGTTTTTAATGTTTAGTGTAAGCAACCGTCTACTTAACAAATGTTATATTACCCCTTTTTTGTTGTTCACTCATTTTCGCACAAACATAATAATTTCACAAACGCGTGAGCAGCGTCACTCAAGCGAACGCAGTCGCGCCTCGCATTCGTCCAAGACAGTCTTGATAACGCGTACGTGAGCGGTGTCTATGTGTGCGTGGCACGAGCGCGCTTGGTATGGAGTTTACCTTCTGTTATATTTTGTGCTATAGGTCTCATTTAGAAGCATCAAGGTCACCCAAACGGCAATGGAGCGTGATATTCTCGGAGTTTCGTTGCGTGATCGGATCAGAAATGAGTAGATCCGCAGGAAAACCAAAGTGACCGACATAGCCCGTCGAATTGATAAAAGTAATATTGTTCAACGAACCTGCAATGCTCCGGCTAAGGCCATCAAAATAAATACATTGGAACCAGTCTGCCCAATATACTGCTTGCCTCCATAGTAGACTATCCCCATGACGAACCAGGCGACACAGCACAGCAGATTCTTCACTCGAAGACTGGGGTGTGTCAGCAGGTCTATGTATGATACTGTGGACTGTTTTTCTTTTGTGGAGGCAATCTTTGATTCTTCTGCAATGGTCTGAGCTACTTCTAAATAGTTCATCGGGGCCATTTTGTTCCTGAAAATTACTCAAAATTAGGCCAATGCAATTTCTGTTTTTTTTTTTTAATAATAACATTTAAAAATCAATTACCAACCGTTTTGCAGCACGCTCCATAACCTTACTAGCTTCCTCCAACTTTCCCACCGAAATGAGCCATCTTGGTGATTCGGGGATGAGAAAGAACAGAAGGAAAATTACATTCGGCACGCCCACACCGATAGAAAACGCCGTCCACGACCTCAAATAATATGCAAAGGCTGGCATCACCATCTCTCCTATGGCCGATGGGATATGGAATAAAGCACTCGTTAACTCTCTCCATTTGGGTCCAGTGATTTCGATCATGATAACGAAGGAGACCACCATGAGACCTGCGGAGCAGGTTCCCAGTAAGAATCTAATGATGATGAGGGTCCAGAACTCAGGACTTAATGATACCACTAAACTGAGAACTAACTGCATCAGAGCGGCGATGAGTAGAGCTTTCCTTCTGCCATATCTGTAAAAAAATAGAATATATCTATTTTGCCGATGTCTATGATATAAAGATATTGGTTTTCGTCAGACAATCTCGTAAAAGATGTTTATATTATCCTTCGATAAAAGGGTTATGTGAGGATAACATGGACGAAACAATATAATCTTGTTGTGGCATTAATCTATTTCTGATTAAACCTAACTTTCGTCATACTTTTGTGACTAGGGTAGTAGATAAGCTCATCTGTCACGGCACGGTACTCTCATTTTGGGTCGATTTATGAACAGGTCAGCGTTTCAATGATTCATAACTTCTAACAGCGCTTCATGGTTAATACTGACATCTAATGTATTTATGATAGGGTGATTTACAATAGAAATATAAGTCGAATGTGCTGTCGTTAGTACGTACAACATCCTTTCACATAGTTGGTATTTATTTGCACAAATTACTACGTTCCCTTGTTGACTCAATTTACTTATCTCAGTTTCCATAATCTTAATTACTCCTGAATAAACAACCATTTGTTTAGTATCTAAATTATCAGACAGACTCTTCCCAGACAATGCCACTTATGCAAAGAACAGCTTATTATTTTAATCTTAATGGCTGCAATCATTGCACTCACTGAGATTATTAAGACTGCTGGATTAAGAGATTTGTAATTAAAATACTCTTCAATGGTCTTCATTGTGCTATTATTAAGAATGAAAGCTTTTATGTTATATCTATGCGAATCATTAAGAAAACATTGATTTATGGGAATTTTTACGATACAGTCTTTGGCATTGAATCTAATTATTTTATTTTAGTTTTTTTTGTAAGGTCATAATGCTCATTTACAACCGTCTAATTATGTCGTGTCAACCTAATTCTTTCTTATCTTGCTGTGGTTTTACCGTGCACGGCACTAAGCTCTTCTTAAGTTTAAAGAGTGTATTTAGCATTAGCGAACGATAATAATGACACGCGTATGCCATTATCGAAACAGGTCCTTATATTGTCACTAAATCTTCTAAATACATTCGAAATAAAAATAAACGTATTTACCTGTCGGCAATGAATCCAAAAGACATGCTCCCCACTAGCACACCAAACATAAACATCGTCTGTGCCAAATTCGCTAACCACGCTTTATCGCAAATCAAACCAAACTCAGTAATGATCGAACCATCGAAATTCGTAATATACGAGTATTCGACGCAATCGCTGTAACATTCGTTTATTACTATATCTTCAGTGGAATTCAGTCTCATCAAACACCTGTATTGTGTCTTCGGCGCCAAAAATATTATTGCCGTCATTTGCCAAGCCGCTGAAATTTTGCAGGGCACAGCCAAAGAGAAAATTAACAGGCCTTGCCACAGTCCCATTTCTCCGATCGCCACGTACAATTTATCTTTTTTGTCTTCTCCATCTTTATTATTATCTTCATCGTTTTTCTTAACTGTTTCAACGTCTGCTCCATCACTTTTTTTCACATCTACACACATCATGAAGATGAGATCAAGGCGCGCGTGTGTCTGTCGTTGTCGTGCGATCAAATGAATATAATATCGTCGAGATGATAAACGATAGGTATGGAAAAAGTTTACGTTTTCAAGATCATTATACTACTGCAGTAGTACTCGTAATTAAAGTATTTACTCGCATATTACATATAATAATTTTAGTGCTCTGAAAAATTCCGAACTGATAAAACAAGACGAGTGGATCGCTTTGGGTTATTTCCAGTTTTGGGCAGTATAATAAGGAAGTGCAAAGGACCAAGATACACACAGAATTTCGTCTATTACCCTATGAATATGTAACGCCAGACTCATGTTTATGTATCTTGTAACTGATGATTGTTAAGTTAATTTATTTTCACAGTCCATTAGATACCTAATTATACATATGGGATTGGAAATCCGTGAGGAAGAGCTTAGTTCAGCAACATCTTTTGGTTGAAACGAACGATCGAATGATAGGATTGGTGGCTAACGGCATCTGTTTCTTCTGCAGAGCATCCTGGGCGAGTTCAACCGTGAGCAGGACGCGTTCATCAAGGGGCAGGACGGGCGCGGCGGCGGCGCCAGCGTCGCGCCCTGGGTTGGCGCTCCCAACGAGCCCGCCCTGAAGGAGGAATGTCTGTCTCTGTCCACTGTAAGTATACTTTCATTTATTGGCTTCTAGATTTGTCACAACTCTAGTAGCGTCTATCACTAATATTTTTTACTGTAGCTCTACGCCGTTATCAATTGTCCATTATTCGAGGCGGTGATCTTTCACAGTGCTCTTGATTGTGATTTGATTAGAGTGTGCAACAAGTTCTCTTTCTCCATCGGACAACGACTCGCTAGCCTGTTTTGTAGTTCTTAGGACTTTATGGAACAAAAGCCCAGTGGTGTCAAGTGTTGGACTGCCGATTTAAGGATCTGTAGTTCGATGCCTGTCGCCTATTGTGGTGAACCCACCCCTAATACAAGCATAGTTAGGTGTAGCACTTGGCGAGAATACGAGTATAAGTCATTTGTATGTGGCGACGCCACTTCAAACTAATGACTAACATCTAGCTTCCTTATTGTGGTTGAGCATCATATCCCACATTGGTGACCCCGACGTGATTGGAACGTGACCTTCCAACACCACCATCTTCGGCATCAGCCTCCGCCATCCTCACCATCTCCGCCACTCCGTCATCAGCTCCAGTCTTCAACAAGCCAGCATCCAGCCTTCAGGGACCATCCGCAGATCGCAACCGACCTTCCTGGTTCCTCGGCAGCAAGCAACCGTCATTTCACTGGTCACGGGTACAGCCTTGGCCCAGCTCCACGCCCGACCATCGAAGACGCCTCCGCTCACTATCCCGACTCACCGTGGATAGAGCACCGCAACCTGCTCGTCTCGACTCACCGCAGACTTGAGCACACTGGCACTTGTAAAGCTCATCACGCACAGACTGCTGAGCTCATCCTGACGTCATCCACCTCCGGTTCTTCCGGGGGGAGAGGCGTGGCGACGCCACTTCAAACTAATGACTAACATCTAGCTTCCTTATTGTGGTTGAGCATCATATCCCACATGTACAATACAAATTACTCTCTTCCAGGATCGACGGAACTTCGTGCGCGCGCCCCCCGCCGGCGTGGAGTTCGACTTCGACTACGACAAGATGTACCCGGTGGCCGTCGCCATCATGACCGAGGATCCCAACCTCGAGAAGATGCGCTTCGATCTCGTGCCAAAAGTGTAAGTTTTGTTTATGTACTTGTTATAGGGGACATTTTGCAATAAAAGGAGATGTGCTTTCGACTGTACTGTCTGTCTACCAAGTCTTGTTTACCAAGTATGTAGACTCACATTAGAATACAGTAGCTTTCTAACATTTTCAACTGTAATTCAATTACTTCATTAGTGGTTTCGTGAAAATCTTTATTTGCTATTTGGATGGCGTTAATCTATCACAAACTTGTGGCTTCCAGATAGGCCAGTAGAATTAAACACCAAAAGAATTGAATCGGAAATAATTCCTACTAAAGATTTTAGTGCTTTAATGGCTTCATTAGTTGTACATAAAGACTCTCCTAGGTTTTCGACTTCGACGGAGTTGTGCTTAAGTGGTGGGGGCTCCCGAAAGGGGCGCTTTTTCGTTTTTCCGGTTATACCGTGTAAAGGACTTACCCTATCGAAAAGTGGTCTTCCTGACTTAAGCACAACTCCGTTGAAGTCGAAAACCTAGGAGAGTCTTAATGAGCAACCAATGAAGCCATTAAAGCAATAAAATCTTTTGTAGGAATTATTTCCGATTTAAAATCTAATTCTACTGGCCTAAGAACTACGTACTAATACGTTTACTAGATAATTGTCTTGTAGATAAAGGGAAATTTAAGTCCGTCTTATGTACAATGCTCTATGTGCATATAAGCTTGAAATAAATAAATATAGCCTGACCAGGAACATAAAAACCCTCGCCATGTTGCGGAAAATTAATGGTACTAATTTCTTTTAATGGCAACAGTAACTGAAAACTTCATTGACATGTCACCTTGCATGTCAGTCTATTGCTGTCAAAGTGTAAACAAACTTTATTTTAAATGTGTGCAATTGATTTTCTGAATTAAATTGCTAAAAACTTTTTATAGTCGTGAAAGAAAAGTGGTTCACAATGTGTTAAAGTATTTGTCGAAGAGAAATACTAAGGGTTCGGACAATATTTTCATTGAATAATGTTTCCGACAAAGGTTGTCAAATTGACTGACATGTTTATCGTATAGTACAGTCCACTATGAAAATTAGCTGTGGTTTGTTTCAACTACCTATTTTAAAGATTTTTGTCACTTTCTAAGTGTTGAATTTTATGGAATTGGGAAAGAAGTACCGAGTTTGAAGCGTTCATGAGCAGACATTGTTGTTGAATATTCAAGTTCTGAATTTGATTATTGATGAATAATAAAATAAATCCTACTAGCTCGATTGATGGTTTCATTTCATTTATTTAAACCAGGTTATCTATAATAATATTTTTTCGTTAATTTATGAAAATATCAAATTAGCCCGTAATCTTGAATCCTATACATAAAGTTAGCCTATTAAATTAACACAGGTACGACTGTACTCAGTGTTGCACTATCAAATGCAATTGACGCGCCTCTATGCCAGGGTTTTTATGTTCCTGGTCAGGCTATACTAAGTTTAATGTTTGTGGTCCTCTTGTACGATAAAGTCTCCAGTGGGTGGCATCCAATAATTCAACCTTAAACTAAGCTAACTCTACGGTATACACCATTCCAGCATCACGGAGGAGAACTTCTGGCGGAACTACTTCTACCGCCTGTCGCTGATCTGCCAGGCCAACGAGGCCGACGCCGCCGCCGGCCGCGCGCAGAGCGTTGACGACTCCCAGGGTATGCTCGCCTGAATATTTATGACGTTTCATTACCATGAACAAGAACGGACCTAGAGTAGAACCCTGAGGCACCCTTTCAAATAATGTTAATAGAACGACACAATTTTGACTTGTAGTTTTTGGTGAATGATTATTCGAAGCATCAAGTTAATTCATTAAAAATCTATATCATTATTAAATGTCCGAGTGTCAGTCATCATATTTGATTAATTTCATAACTTGCCACATTCTTATAACTTACGTGTGGCAAATTTACTAAGTAATAATTTAGCATTTTACCTTTGTTTAAATTTGAATAAAACAGGGTTCAGGTTTCTACTCTGTTCTCGAAAACATTTCACTCCTACCATAAATAGCTTCTACGTCGTTTCAAAATACATCAACATCATAAACACCAAAATCGTTTCGTTTAGTTATATTTTATTTGTTTCACTTATTTTCATTTTTGTTTTATTTTCTTCCCTTAAAAACCAGATGATAAATCGGCAAGTGACAGCTTGATAACGAACGAGAAATCCTCGCAAGAGTCGATTGACGATGTCAAGAAGAGAATTAAGTCCCTCAAGGTGGATAGGGAGAATGATGATGGTAAGACTTGAGATTGTTTCAATACAAAAGAAATCACTTAACGCACTAACGTTACTACTAATAATTTCGGAACAAAAACCAAATTCTAAATTGCAATCACTTATGTTTATTTAAACTAAATTAACCCAAAACACGTCCTGATTTAAAATCCTTTTATTTATTTTCGTAGTTTCATAAACACACTTAGCCATATTATTTAGTTTTCATTTATTATTATTATTTTCATTGTTTTTAATGGTTTGTATTATTAATTAACAAATAACCAACTTTGAGGAATATGCTGTATTTTAATTGCATGCTCTTTAAATGTACATAATCTTGTCAATAATGCAAATCTTTACTTACAAAAATAAATTACCCCGCGAAATAATAACCATAACATAACATAAATTGGGTAACTAGCTTACTGCTTCAGAAGAAAACTGAAATATATTTAGGATTTATTTCCTAATAAATGTCAATCATACCTAATTTACAATTAGTATAGCTTTCATAAACGATCACATATTTAAATATTTCATGTTGTGTGACATTTTCGTTAAACGCAAAATGTTTTCCTTTTTCCTGGAATGCAGCTTAAGCAAGATGCACGGACTACCAATGGGCAACCGCAAACTCTAACGATAACACCACGTGATGCCACAGACCTATATACTATCTTTAACACTATAGATTAACATATAGACACTCTTAAATAACACATAACAACGGGCATCAAGATTAAAAAAACTTTCTACCGTAGACTTCTTACTCCCAATTTTGACTGTCGATAGTATATAGATCTGAGATAATTATATCTAGTCGATATGATGCTTGTTAAGCAGAATGTATTACGTAAATTAAGGGCTCTCATGCAAATTGTTTCGACCTTGATAAAATAATGCCATCACAATTTGATAGAATTAGATCGAACGCACACGCATACTCTCCAGCTTATCGTCACATTGGTATTACAATATCTTCACTCTGAGTATGGATAATAATATATTTGTAGCTGTTATAGTTACACATTAATGTTCATAATGGAATTAAATATGCACCGAATATCTCACGCGTTACTTCAAATACATTTCCAAGGAATTACTTCTGTATTGGTTGTTTATTTTGACGACATGGTATTCTTTTGAGGAACTAACATACGTGTATGTGTTATGGCATTATTATGTCAAGTAAATCACTGTTATCTTTTCACACAACCTCTAATATTATTTGAGCGTTAATGCGTATATAAAATTTATCGCTGTTTGCTAAATTTTTATTTGGAACTTAAAAGTTTATATAATCTATATCACTATGATGTCATATCTTCATCCTTGTTGTTATCTCGTGTGTCATATATAAATAATGAATGTTACGACAATATAGCTTCTTTATCCCTGAATTGGTGGATATAATATGAATTGTATATATTACAGTGTCCTTGTTTAACCTGTTGTCTATCAAATAAAGAACCACTGGGCTATATTTCAATAGCTCAACACCCAAAAACACCAGCGGTGAGAGAAAAACGCGTGATATGATCACACAGAGCTATTGGAAAATAGACCATGATGTATTACTGTATACTTGTCTCAAATATATCTCAAATATATACATTTTCTCGATGGAACATATTTTAATGTCTACTGAATGTTATATATGTCTAAGTATCGGTTAAGGTTATATAGCGGTAACGTCACAGTTCATTAATTCGGCTCAGTAGTGTTAAATATAAGTATCTATTGTTCAGGTTTTGACATTGCTACTTCTTCAAATAATTGGTTATCTGCTTTGAGATTGTTTGCTTGAAGTGTATGTGTTTTAGTCTTACTTTTCTCTCTTCATGCTTCTGTATTTCTCAAAGTTGGTCCTATTGCATTTTCGTTGACATTCCTATTCGATATGATTTGCGTATTGTAGCAATGTTGAAACTTCTCTTTTGTACATAATACTGTGTTGTCAGAATTTCTGTGTGTCAGTCTTTTTCGGAGTTTGGAGTGCATTTAAAAACTTCTGACTTTCTGGTTCGACTTCCTACGATTGTATTTCGACTAGTGGACTCGCCCTTGCCTTGACATTGAGGTTGATTGGCATAAGATAATACCAACTAACAGCTAATAGAGGTATTTGCTGATACAGAAGAGTAAACTGGTATTTACCAGCACTAAGTTATGAAAGGTTTGTTGAATGCAAAAGTAAAGAATTTTCAAGAAAGTGATATCATTTGTATGAACAGTCAATGAGATTTTGGCATCATGAATGCATATGCCAAAGATACATGTGATTGGCAGCTAAATATCGTTGATGAAGTAAACACAGCGAGTCCACAGTCGAAGTTAGTAGCCGCGACATATCACTTATGGGTGACAGTCAATTAAATTTACCCACTTACTAACTGCCGTCTCTTGATCCCAGGGAAATTTGGAATCTTTAAGCTGGCAACACATTTCACTTCCGTAATTTCTTTTGTAATTATTTACGATTAGATCATAGTCAATATTATAATCTGTGGAAAATAATCCAGTGTTATAAAGTTGTGTAGAGTTATAGTTGGTAAACGTAAACACATTTATATTGATAGAAGTAATCGAGGAGTTGTAACGAGAGGTGATAATAAGCAGGCCTAGTACGATGTCGCTTTTGTTAATCGGTTTAGTTTGGTTTAGCTTGACACGAACGCAGCAATAATCGACCGCGTGACGTCTGGCGCCGTTTGTAAGCTAGCTGGTGTCCTTCCGAATGATGCCCGGATCCAGAATCGATCTTGAAAACAAAATAATCTGGCTATAGTGTGTTTCTATTAACGTCTCTGAAAGAACACGATGTAATACCCCAATTGAATTAGACCCACGAGCCATATTAGTATCTTATAGAAGTTACAAGTTGTCAATATCTTTCGTACACGTTTCCGATACAACATAAATGAATATATTATATGTATGTAGAATTCCTCGTTATTTAGTTTCTAAATGAAACTTCAACTTGTACCCTAGCAACATTTACATAGTTATAACACTTTTTATTGTCAATATTTGAAAAATTGTTTAGTGAATTAAAACGTATAGTTATTAAATGAATTGGCATTTATAGTTAGTTATTATGAATTGAAATAATTATATTATTCTAAAATAATATTGGACTTATTATTTCACTATTGTCTAAATGAGAAACTTAGATGATAGTACACAATTTTTATTTACTTTTATGGGCTCCGCTATGGAAGAGAAAATTAATGCCAAATAGAATTCTACTCTGTGGTGTTATACAATGTAAAAAATTTCTTCTAATCTTCAACAGCAAACTTCTTTCTTACTATCCAAATGAATAGCACCTATCACACTTTTTAAAATCAACTTTTATACTACAGGAATAAAAAAAATCTCAAGTAAGTTTCAAGAATTATATTGCAAATACACTCAACATCAAATAAACCGCACCTTCCGCGACGCGAACTTTAAAGATTTTCTTCTGACACAATCCTAGTGCCCCAACAATATTGGTATTATTTGAAAGCCCAATAAATATCCTTAAAGAAAAACATATTTAATTTCTTAATAAACGATTAACATGTACCGTAAATGTGACTTGAAAAAAGACCTCACTTTGGGCTCACCTCTGGGATCAATTAGACCAAATTTTATCGTTATAAAACCAAATAATTATCACACGTGTCCTTTTTAACAGATAGATAGCGATTAATCTCAACTTAACAGTTTTATAGCCATAAAAGTTAGCTCAAGCGTAACTACCTACCTATTTTTTAAAGAAGTGACTCTGGATCCTTCTAACGACACATTTTTGGGGTAAAAACTTTTCCTTTAAGGCGATTACATGGCCGAACGACCTTGAGCATTAGAGCGAGACAACGAGCCACCCGCCGCGCGCCCGCGCTTTTTGCCCGATACCAAAGTGCGCTCAGAATACAGATGCGAAGCGCTGCCAATTCTAACATAACTGCCTACGGGAATGTTACCTCGATTTTAATTTACGCATATCGAAAAAAATTGCGATGCTTATTTTGTGTTTCAAAACAGAATTTAAAAAAAGAAAATAAATCATTATACAGAATAATAATAATTATCGTCAGCATATTTTCAAACTGAAACAAAATTGAAATAAATGATTATATTTCAATTAGACATCATTATACTTTAATTAGTACCATAACTATGAAAAATAAACAGTTATTTCCTCCTGTAAATTTTGCAAAAAGGGACATACCCTCAGATCATAAAAGGGAATAGATGTGAAACGGGGGCGTGGCGCGTGTCTCCGCGATATGCCCAGAAACGAACATCGGCCGCGTAGCTAGGTTAGTCGCGATTCAGTCGTACTAAGGAAATGTTCTCCGATATTTTGGATAATGCGTCGTTACGTGCAATAAAACAAGTGAAACGCAGAACTACAGGAACAATGGAGTCATTTAGTACATGTAAGTATTGCAAATCCATTGATATTTTGCNAACACTTTTTTAGATAATTAAATTTTCTATCATTTGGTGAAAGAATCATTAAAATCGCTTCAGCCGTTTAGGAGTAGTAGGAAATTTCTTTGGTGAAATTAGAAGAAAGTTAAGATTTTTTTCTGTCAAAACTAATAGTTGTAACAAAAAAAACGAACAACAATTTTTTAGTTTAAGATATTATACATCTCACACATTATTTTTTTCTTGTTTGGATCATCCATTTAGGAGGAGTAGGGATTCAAAGAGAGGTCTATTTTGCAGTTTTGCCTCACCTATCGCCTTAATGAAATGAAGTTTAGAACTAGGCTTTTAAATGGTGCCAATATTGGTGGGAACTTGGGAAGTGGGGATGCATACGTTTGAAAGTTCTTGTCACGCGAGGTGCGATTTATTTGATGTCGAGTGTATTAGGTGTATAAAAATACATGATTATAAATATTTATTCCATTAAATAACTTTTCAGAGCAATGGGAGAAGGAACTTGAAGCCGAGCTCAAAGAGTACGAGGTGGTTGCTGACAAAGCGGCCGACGACAAGTGGGAAAAGGAGTGCGAAGACCTGCTTGGGGAAGACGTGGACCTTAAGTAGACGACCGGTGAGACGAGTAGACCGGGTATACTCGAGTAGACCTAGTGGAACACCAGGTCTACTGTAGCTATCGGGCATACCGATGGTTGAGTAGACCTGGTAGTTCTGGTAGACTTGAGTAGACCTGGTAGGTTCGAGTAGACCTGGTTGACTGGAGTAGACCTGGTAGGTTCGAGTAGACTTGGTCGACTTGAGTAGACTTGGTCGACTCGAGTAGACCTGGTATAGTCGAGTAGACTTGGTCGACTCGAGTAGACCTGGTATAGTCGAGTAGACTTGGTAGATTTAGTAGACCCAGTAAACCGAGTAGACCCGGTTGACTGCAGTAGACCCGGTTGAATCGAGAAGACTCGAGTAGACTTGGTAAACTCAAGTAGACTTTAGTAGACCTGTTGATCTAAGTAAACCTAAGTAGACCTGGTTGATTAGACTTGAGAAGACCGGGTAGACCTAAGTAAACCATAGGCTACGTGAATCGGTTAACCATATTGAAGTTGGATAATTTGATTTTGAAAAGTAAATGAAAGTAGAAAGTATATATTAATATACGTCATTATAAATAGTGAGATTGTTCGAATGTCATGTTGTCGATGTCAATTTTATGAAAAAGTCGGTTAAAAACTAATATTCCGGTCCGGTACATAACATAGTCCGGTTCCATTATTTATGCTAAAAGATAATTTTAGTTACTCTAACGTACATTATTTTACATTTGTACATGTTTATTACAATATATCAATGCATTAAAATAATTTAAAAAGTAACAAAAAAATTTTTATGCTCAATCGCACTAAGTGTCGCGTTGCTTGTCACCATCCAAATTTGGATCAAAATGAAAAACAAAACTAACAAGCTTGGAAAAATCACAACATGTTTTGAGCAGAAAACATTCCTTATCATCATAAAAAATACGTATTATTGAGTGAAATGAATTGCACGATATATCGTCCCGGGATCCCAGAATTCCGGGATTGCCAATCCCATCACTAAATAACTATACGGCGATTAATTAAGTTCTTTAAACTTAACTAAAATAATATAAAAATATTTTTCATGTTCACATAATAATTAAAATAATAAAAATGGCTTCTGAAAATACCTAAGTTAAAATGTACATATTTGTAGATTTGTAGTTTGTTTTATACGAATGAGTGTTTAAAGTTGTTATTTTAAGGTTTAGACAATATGTGATGTAAAGAATAATTATTTAAGTTATTTCATTTATTGTTTACTTAATAATAGACTAGACATGAGTATTTGTTTTATTTTAATATATTAAAGTTATTTATTCGTTTATATCTTTCCAAATTACTGTCTTAGAGATATCTATTTTGTTATTAAGATTCAAGAATTATTTTACCAAATTCCTATTCCAGATGGTACAAATACATGAAGTATTTGTATATTTATATTTATATTTAAATACATATTTCCTTGAATTCCTCCAAAATTTGGGTGACTAGGGTAACAATAAATTCAGATATTATGTAGGAGACTTCATAATTTGACCAGTTTGTGTGTAACTCAAAAATACTTTAAGTGCGAAATATTTATTTGTACACTTTAATAGGTTTAGTTGAACAATAATAATCTATATTATTTTATAGTTAAAAAAGAGCAGCAAGCTCTCTATGTACTAAGCTTATGTTATAGTTATCTATTGTACTATATTTATTTTGTGTATAATTTGTAAGCTGGAACGTTGTTTCTATCTATGTACCTATATCATTTTATTATACTACTATGTATTGAATAACTTACGCCAAGTCATCAATTTCGAGTAAGTAGTCGTGTGTTCATATTTGCTGCATTCCTATATTTAATAAAAGTGTTCGATTATACACATGTTTTTACTTACTACTACTTACTTGGATTATACACACGTTTTTGTTTACTAACGTGAGTTAGGATGTTCTTCGAAAATTTTACTAAAACACCTAAACTCAAAGCTTGTGGAATAAATCAATATAATATAGATATTAAATATACTATTGCTTTGGCACTCTTTATAGAGTAGGTATAGTAGCTTTTGGACTTTTAGTGTCTTATAATATCAACTCTATTGCTGTATGTGTTACAGTCAAAACTCATAATCGGTCAAAACCACTTTTGACTGATGCCATTGGTCAATATCACTTTTGACTGATTTTTCCAGTCAAAAGTGGTTTTGACTGATTATGAAATTTGACTGTAACATATACCTACTATAAATAGAATTGTTGTTTACCATTCTATCGATAGGCCTATCGATTGAATTACTGTACTTCACGACTTTATATCGATAGTCGATAAAGAAACTTTTTGAATCGTTTTGAATAGACAGTTAATGTCCAAACCGATGAGCTATGGTATTGCAGCCTCTTTTCATCACACGTTTAACACATGTATTATAAAATTTCTTACCTAATAAAAATTCCTTAGAAGAAAATATTAAAAGTTACTTTAGATGAAGTAATTGCTTGCTTCTAACATTTGTGTTAACGACGGACAACTACGGAACCCTACACTGCGCGTGTCACGACACGCACTTTGCTATTTTTATTCTGAGAAGATACCAGCACAAAAAATCCATCAAATCCCACACGTGTATCGATTGGTATGGTACTATAATATGAAAATAAACCTTGTACGTCTATATTATAAATTTAAATGTTTTTATTGCATTCTTACTACGGAAGGCTGCTGGGTACTGATTCTGAATTTTTTTTTATTTTTTTTTTTGCTTCCTATGAGCGTTTTTTTTAACAACTTTATAATTTTTACACTTGTTCTAAATAAAATAAAATAATATCTACAGCTATATTCAATATAATCGTCTATCTCAACAAGGTATAAACAGTTCATCCACCATAGTGTTACTTGAAACCATACTATTTTCATATGATAAAATGAAAAGAAAAATATTTATCGACAGATTTCATATTTTTTTTTGGCAGAATCATCTCTTTGAGTTTATGGAACATGTTGAGTGGAATCCGCCATATTACATCAACTCAAAATTGGCCTCTTTTTTGTTAAAAATCACTCGAACGCTTAATTCACTTTTAATTATGTTTTTTACTTGCATTACGTACCTAAATGGATAGGGCCAAATCGATTTATTACAAATTAATATGCCAGTGACTACAGTGGCCGCTCCATCATGAAAGCCGTTTTCTTAATTTATTTTATCGTTACGATCACTTGGGTAAGTTGGGAACAAATTAATACATGTTTGTATAATTTTTAATTAAACAAATCAAAGGTATTTTATTGGTTGTAAAAGACTGACAAAGGTATGAATCCACGATAATCGAACGGTGAAGGGGTCGGACTGGCCGACTCGTGATCCGGAGAACGCGGGTTCTGTCCCCGCCGCCGCTCGACTAATGTGGTGAGCTCACTCGTGACACAAGCATATTTAGCTTAGTACGAGTGGCTAACGGGACTATTAGTAATTTGGGTAATAACAAAATATTACTAATAAAATTGTGATTTCCTTCTGCCACTTCCCAACACCACCAGATAGTATGCAGCAGATAGTATGTTGTCCCAAAGTGGCGGTAAAGTAAAGCGTGTATAAGTGCTCTGATATGAGCTTTCGTAATTTATAAAGAATTTGAGTTGACAGGTTCAATTTCGTCCAATAATTTTATTTTTAAATTAATAAAAAAAGAAGTGAGTGAACCCAAAAAAATGTCTCATAATGTTTTTTACCCATGCTGATAAATTTAGCATTGTTATTCTTCAGAAGGCTTTAAACAGGAAATATCTTATTATTCTTGCTTTGTGCGGTATAATTTATATTTATTTGCTGTTTTTTTATTCGTTTGAAAAGAGCAGTTATTCCACTTATTTCCTATAAATATGAAATCCTTTTTATTACCAAAAAATACCTTGCAGTGTCTTCAAGTAATCGTAGAGAGGCCACATTTGGAATACGTTAATGAAAAGTACTTGGAAAATGTTAGCATCTACTGTTCTCGCTTTGGGAGAAATAGTCCGTACTATGTGAATATAATTGGCAGAAACACATACACGTGGACCAATAATGTAACGGTAAGTAAACCCTCATAATAGTGTAACTGGTACCTACTAACTGTTCTATCTGTTAAGCAGTTTGGCAGATTAGTATTAAGTAAAATCGATGTAACTTTTATGAGACAATAAATTAAAAAAATAAAAAAAAAATCTATACTAATATTATAAAGCTGAAGAGTTTGTTTGTTTGTTTACTTGAACGCGCTAATCTCAGGAACTACTGGTCCGATTTGAAAAAATCTTTCAGTGTTAGAAAACTCATTTATCGAGGAAGGCTATAGGCTATATGTATACCATCACGATACGAGTAATAGGAGCAGAGCAACAATGAAAAATGATGCAAAAACGAGTTTTCACGCGAACGAAGTCGCGGGCACAGCTAGTTCATAAATAAATAAATAAATCATCATTAAGACTATATCCACGTGAGACGTGACGAGACAAGGTGGACCGACGACCTGATAAAGGTAGCAGGAAGGCGCTGGATGCAGGCCGCTACCAACCGTGCGATGTGGAAGTCATTGGGGGAGGCCTATGTTCAGCAGTGGACGTCCTGTGGCTGAAATGATGATGATGACTATATCCACCGGTTCCAGGTAGTTTCCTTTGTATTGTATTATCATGTATAATAATGTAAAACTGTAATGTCTTGTTGGTCTGAACCAATTTAAATGAAGTAGAATAAAGACCCAGGGAAACAGTAAGTATAGCCTGACCAGGAACATAAAAACCCTGGCATAGAGGCGCGTCAATTGCATTTGATAGTGCAACACTGAGTACAGTCGTACCTGTCTTAAATTAATAGGCTAACTTTATATATCAGGATTAAGGATTACGGGCTAGTTTGATATTTTCATAAATTAACGAAAAAATATTATTATAAGTAACCTGGTTTAAATAAATTAAATGAAACCATCAATCGAGCTAGTAGGATATATTTTATTATTCATCAATAATCAAATTCAGTACTTACCACAAACTGTTGTAGAACTACCCATTCATAAATTCAAAGCACATATTAAAAGTACCTTAATGAAAAAGGGCTACTATAAAGTCGATGATTATTTAAAAGATAAAAATGTTTGGGATGCGCGTAACCGCCTAATAGCTCGCATAAATATTTATAACTATGTATTTTGAAAACCTGTAAACCTTTGAAAAAGAGGCTGACAATAGTGTCTGAGTTTCTTGCGCTGCTTTTTCTCAGCACTGGCCCATTTGTTGTCCTGAAGCAGTGGTAGGGTTAATACTGGGACGTGTAAAAGTGCTTTTTTAAAGCCTACTTACAGAAATAAATGAGTTTTACTGAGTTTTTTTTAGTTTTTACTTGAATATTCAAATGCAATGTCTGCTCATGAACGCTTCAAACTCGGTACTTCTTTCCCAATTCCATAAAATTCAACACTAAGAAAGTGACAAAAAACTTTAAAATAGGTAGTTGAAACAAACCACAGCTAATTTTCATAGTGGACTGTACTATACGATAAACATGTCAGTCTATTTGACAACCTTTGTTGGAAACATTATTCAATGAAAATATTGTCCGAACCCTTAGTATTTCTCTTCGACAAATACTTTAACACATTGTGAACCACTTTTCTTTCACGAATATAAAAAGATTTTAGCAATTTAATTCACAAAATAAATTGCGCACATTTAAAATAAAGTTTGTTTACACTTTGACAGCAATAGACTGACATGCAAGGTGACATGTCATTGAAGTTTTCAGTTACTGTTGCCCTTAAAAGAAATTAGTACCATTAGTTTTCCGCAATATGGCGAGGGTTTTTATGTTCCTGGTCAGGCTATATTGTTTTTATCTCGGTTTTTTGAAAGGGAGAGATGCGTGCGATAGTGTTTTGTCACTGATAAAGTTCATGCATGTAAATCGCGGGTAAAAGCTAGTGAAAAATAAAAATGTGCAACCCGGTGGAGATAACTGACGCCCGTATTCACAAACATTACTCTATGAGGTCTCACAGTGTGCGTGGATGCACAGGGTCACACCAAACACGAACCAATCACAGAGCTCTATTCAACGCTGTGCGTTCGATTTGCTGCTTCACTTAAGCAAGAGTCGTTAGTGAATACGGGTATTAGAGCATGCTACTCTCAATCGCACACCTCTGCGTCCGCCCGGTCTCTTCAAAGCGTCGATGTGACGTCGCGGCTGCCAGATGCGCAGTTAACTTGACTGGTTCGAACTAACTTTCAGGTCAACTTAATCTTCTACGAGTACCTCCACAACGAGTACCGGCGCTCATTCGTGGAGTTCCACTTCAAGCTGTGCGACATGGTCAATTCGGACCCATACGTGGGCGCTATGATAGCAAACGCTGGCATCACCTGCCCAGTGCCACCGGTACGCTCGTGTTTTTAAGGCGATTAGAGTCCTCAATGACCTTGAGCGTTTGACCTTCACGCTTCGCACAACACCCGCGCACCCCGCACGAAAACTCCGATTTGACACCGATCAAAAATACACGGGCATAGGTAGGTACAGAATAGAAGCTCTTTCTTCATACATTACTGCCTATTATTTTAAACTTGAATTGATGAACCTTAATGTCGATGTCATTCAACCCAGGCGCAAGTGATCGCCCGAAATGTTCTAAACTAGCGCACCGTATAGTAAGGTATTTATATTTAACAAAAATTACAAATCCATGAACATTTTGTATGGGATAATATTATTTATTTTATTTTATTTAGCTTACAATGTATGTTGTGTGTAAACTATGTTTGTTCGGGTGGAATTTTGCAAGCTGAATTAGTTAGACCCATTTCCTGACGACAACCGATTGAGTTAAAATTTCGGATACACATGCAATTCGGATGACAATGCAATATTATGATGACATGGAGCTGATCTGATGATAGAGCTGGAAAGTCAGTGACCCCATAGGAACTCCGGAATAAAACGACTCCATCGAGTTGAGGCTCGTTTGATTTGTATTTATTTATTTNAATGAAAGTAATGTTCGATTGAAAAACGCAACGTGTCATTTAAAGATTAAAGAATTCTTAATCTATTCGTGCAAAAATCTTTAAAATTAACATAGCCGTTTGGGAGGAGTAGGGAATTGAAGTAAAAAATCGATGTCCCGTATTTATTTTTTTAATCCACAACAAAGAGACGTAGGAAAAATTCAAACGTGTCAAATGTAGTCCTTGAACTGTTGTATAACATATATTTTTATCAACAATTTCTGTCCAGCAGTATAAGAGGAGTAGGCTTTACAAAATGACCATTTCACGCGGATTGAGGACACTAATCGCCTTAAATACATTCATCATCATAATTTTCAGCCATAGGACGTCCATTACTGAACATAGGCCTCCCCCTATGATTTCCACAATGGCCGGTTGGTGGCCATATATTTAATATCTTGAGACAAAGTAGTTCTTCAGCAGATATCACGGCTGCTATGGTCTGGTAAGACCACCTGCCTCAGACCCAGGGGTCCCTGGTTCGATTCACAGTGGGGGCCGATTTTTCTGTTAGGTTTGGTTAGCGATAGAGCTTGTTCTAAGTCCACCTGGCTATCTACCATCGTCTAACCTAAGTCTGTCGGCATAACAACAATGTTAACAGCATTGTTATGTTCCGGCAGTTCCAGGTAAGATAGCCTGTTCCTCTGTGGTTGAGGATTCCGGGTGAAGCTCGCTTCCACCTTCGGCCTGATCATCACTTTCCATCAGGTGAGATGGAGGCTAAGAGATTCTTCATTGTGGATAAAATTTTTATAAAATCTACATCACTTGGTCTTTTCAAGGCGAAAGCGATTAGGCAATATGTATGCACTTGGCCCCATACCCTAGTCTGCATCTAACCTAACAACAGGTGATTAACCTGCCTTTTTCTGTACAAAAGAACAACCTCTTGCAGGTAATGCACTATCTGGTGAACATGTCGATTCCATCCACCGCCGACTTCAAGTTCAAGTGGCCTTTCAAGAAGTGCATGGTGCGGTTGGAGATGGCGGTCACCTCCACCAGCGAGCCTATAGGGCAGGCAGACTTCTACGTCACTTTCGCTGATAAGAAATATCATTTGTAATTAACAATAATATTATTAATATAATATTAATATTAATAAATTATTATATGTATACGGGAGACTGGTACCCAAACTAGGAAAGTAATGTTATAAATGTAAATGTTATACATATAAAATGAGAATATCAATGTCTTCAACAATCTCACTTAAGGAATAAAAAAAATAGGATTAGGAAAAATAAATACCTACGTTATGTTGTTATCTCAAAATGGCGACGTATACGAGAAAGTACATAAATAAATTTAAAAAAAGAATAAAAAACATAAAATCTCTATATAGAAATAAAATAATTTTCAATATTAAACAATAGTGTAGGAAAAAGCCCAATAAAATTATAATGTAGGAACATACTTAATACGCAGGCAATTAATTTATTGTGCAAACTCATTATGCTCGTACCTACATGGTTTTAAAGAACTTAATAAAACTTTAGATTATCTATTATTTCACTGGTGACCAGACACACTGTAGAATACCTGATTTGTCACATATTTGGAGAATACGCTAAGTATCATGAGTAGGTAGAGTCTTATAGACTGAGAGCTAGTGAACGCCAGACCTACGTTACTTCTAATTATTGCCCAAATATTATACATAAAAATCAGAATTTCCCCAACAGCCAGACAGTTTTGACAGTTCCAACTCCTTGCCAGACAGTTTTTTTAGGGTAGCTCCCAAATCCACCATGACCCAAACTTCATAATTCACCAACATTATATCCTATATTGGGAGCATACGCTGACAAACTTTCAGCTTTTATAAAATAACGTAGTTCTGGCGTTCACTAGCTAGTCTATTATATTAAAAGGATGCCAACGATTTCAAAGTCACCCTGTATACTTAAGTTATAAGCCAATAGCTTAAATACGCATGTGTTGGCTGCGGTTTGCGTTCTACCTGTGACCTGAAAGGCTGTATTAGCATTAAAGACAAATTGTAATGTATTGTTATATGGAACACAACAACAACATTGTATTATGTTTTTCATGCTAGCCTAGATACAGTTCACTCACAAAATTAATTGTAAGAAATTTTAATGCTTAATGTAATTTTAATAGATTTATTATTCTCGGGCATCACGTGCAATTATGTCGCTGACAAAAATTAAATCCACATCATCCATTTTGAATTAAGTCGTCGGTGATCACTTCGTCATGAAAGTCGTTTTTGTGATCACACTCATCGTTGCAATAAGCAGGGTAAGTCAGCTAAAATTATAAATGTCAGAGAAGGAATTATACGACCTATTCCATCAGCCCCCTTCCATTACCGGGGAAACAGACGCAGGTTAGCGTACCATCCCTACATTGTCGACATTCCACCAGCTCGCACTAAGCGTTTCGACGACTCGTTTATAATGGGAACTGGGACTGGAATTCGCTGCCTGCTGCTGTATTTCCTGTCCTGAACACTATAATCCGGACGTTTTCAAGGCGAGAGTGAATAGGCACTTATAGGGCAGATTATGTACCATCCTAGACTATGTGCATGTGGATTGAGTGATCCTTGCTTCAATCTTAACAAAAATCGAGGAAGTTTTACTTAAAATATGTTAAAACATTGCGATGAAGTTTAAAAATTTGTTAAACCTAAGATAAAAATGTTATGGCCAATAAATAGGAGCACTCATACCGCACGCTTTAAGAAAACGTCAACATGTTTATTTCAGAAAATAAAGCCTTTCCACTTCTTTTTATAGTATTGAAAAATTGTTAAGAATATGTTAAAACTATTAACAAATTCAGAAATTCCTTGCACGTCCCGTTCCAAAGTTATGACGATTATTTAGGATCACTCACACCGCACACGGGCCGTATGAGTGCTCTTCAAAATAATGACTTTTTATTAATAAATACGTTTTATTTCTGTTGGGAAATGTGTGCAAACTGACGAGCGAATTTGTTAAAGAATAAGTGTGACAAAACTTAAAAGCTGAAGGAATTAATTCACGATAATGTTCGTTTTCACAGTGCTCGCTCAGTACAGGCACATCTAAACCATTTGGATATACCCATGATGCAGTGGCTGGCAAGATCCCTAGACAAGAATCCTATAGAGCATGTCTTGGACTTTCTTAAAAGATGTGTTAAACTCAGAATACCACCGGTGGTGTTGAGAAACGCGTTACTAGAGGAATGGCAGACATTGCCCCAAAATACCCTTCATATCATTAACTGCAGCATGCTCAGATGAATGGAAACCATCATCAGAGCAAGAGGGGGAAATACCCATCATTAATTCATTCATTTGGATAGTGATAAGCTACCCTAATTTTTAATCTGGCCACAATTTCTAATTTTTGTTCAAAACTGAAAAATTGAAATTTCGTTTCGATGATTTTTTATTAAATAAAAACGACTAAATATTTAAAAAATATATGTTATTTTATTTTATTTTAATTATCTCTTTATTTTGTATAATAAATATTTCATAGATCAGTAGTAATTTTCCTTATTTTCATACTTTTTTTTGCGTTCCGCTAAATCTGCCGGTGTGTGTATTTTAGTGAACTTTTTTTGGAGTCTGTTTAAATTTTTTCTTAAAATTAGTTGGGAGTTTTTTTATTTGTATATTTTTTGCTTTTTAATTGACATTGTTATTGAGGTTGGCAGTTCATTGGGACTTCATAAACGCCACTGAAAAGTAACAGAAAAGCGAAATGCACAATTTCCTTTGCCTGGATGACATATTTTTTCTATTTATTTTAAATCAAAAAGTGAACTACAGAACCAGTTTCGAAAAAAATAAATGGGACAAATAAAAATAATATCGAATCAAACAATTTTTTTAAATCGATTCTTAAAATGTGTTCTGACATAAGTACAACAATATACACACTTACACAGTATAGGTACAATACCTCCTCTTTATTTAAAATCGGTTAAAATATGAATTACAAACATTACAGATGTTTTTACTTTGGAACTAATAAAAAAATGTAACTTATAACATGAGAGCGACAGTGTGTGAGGCAGTGGTTGGAGGGAAAAGGTACCTACCTAACTTCCATTTCAGTATTTAGCTTTTTTATAAAAATTGCAGTGTCTTCAAATAATCCCTGAGAGAGCAAGTGTCGTATACGCAAATGAGAAATACGTCGCCAACGCCTCCGCCTTTGTCACTCGATATGGGCGGAATAGCCCTTACTACATGAATATCATTGGTGTAAATAAACATACATGGGGCAATAATGTAACGGTAAGTTGGTACCTAATTTACTTGTCATTTTTTCCGAACAACTTTTAAAATTCTTAAAAGTAATGACTGCACCCGTATTCACAAACGATGCTTGCTTTGAAGCAGCAAATCGAACGCACAGCGTTGAATAGAGCTCTGTGATTGGTTCCTGTGTCATCCTGTGCGTCCCCGTTTGTGAATACGGGCGTAAGTGTGTCACTACTTTCAGATAAACTTGGTGCTCCACGAGTACCTCCACAACGAGTACCGACGCTCCTTCGTTGAGTTCCACTTCAAGCTGTGCGACATGATCAACTCGGACCCGTACGTGGGTGCCATGGTGGCCAACGTTGGGATCACTTGCCCAGTACCACCGGTAATGTATATTGACAGGATGATTAATAAAGAATATGAAATGAGGAAATCCGCAGGAGAACCAAAGTGACTGACATAGCCCGCAGAATTAATAAATTAAGTGGCAGTGGGCGGGGCACACAGCTCGCAGAGATGACCATTGAGGCAGAAAAGTGCTCGAGTGGCGACCATGGGCCGGGAAACGTAGTTTGGACAGGCCACCCACTGTGGACCGATGATCTGGCTAAGGATGCAGGAGGTGACTACAAATGATTCTCTGGACCATATCCAGCGTTCCAAGTACTACAGTGTTTTGCTTACTCCCCGTTAATTTAATTCTTAAATGACTCGAAACTAAAATAGACCCATTTATAGTGCCAGCAGATCTTACTCAATTTGATTAAGTAGTCAATTTGTTTACCCTGGTGGTGAACTATGTAGTTCGCAGAAAATTGGGTTTATGAGTAGAATATTTTTTCTTATTACACTCTTTTAGCAAGACTTAGTATTAAAAAATATTTATCTCTTCTACAGAAATTGCAACATTTAGTAAACATGACAGTGCCGTCGACTGTCAATTTCAAATTCAAGTGGCCTTTCAAGAAGTGCATGGCGCAGGTGGAGTTCGCGCTCACGTCGACCGGCGAGTCGATGGCGATGGGCAACTTCTACCTCACTTTCGCTGATAAGAAGTTTCAGCTGTAATTTTATGAAAATTAAAGTTTTGAAACTATAACTAGTGTAATTACTACAGTAATGTGCAAAAATAAGGCAAGAAAGTACCTACCTATGTACCTATGTTATGTAGTACCTAATCCAATTTATTTTATTCAAGTAACAAGATTTATCACAACACAAAGCCTTACAATTTACAATATACCTAAGGTTTATTTAATGTAAAAAATTGACAATAGGTAACATATAATCCTAGTCGGTATTCTTTCTGTTTATTTATTATGATTCTTAATCATTTACGCCTTTTACCGGCCTTACTTCTCATCAACGTCATCAATGCTATCCGGCAAAACCCTGCCTTTAGTTTCTGGCAGTAGCAAACAGAGGGCACCAGCAATAATCGGGGCTGCGCCAAACACGATCGTCGGCAGCCAAGGGACGGTGGTGACGTTGGAGATGAAAGGAGCAATCATTGAACCTATCCTCATGGCAGTGGAGGCAGCCCCCATGCCCATATTCCGAACCACAGTCGGGTATATCTCTGAAGTGAAGATGTAGATGGTGGTGGCGACTATAGAGGCGCAGCTGACGCCCAAGGTCCCGAGGGTCAGTCTGATGACGAAGGTGGGTGGCAGGCAGCCCAGGGTGATGATGCAAAGACCGCCGAAGCAGGAGAAGGCGATCGTCGTCGCTTTCCGCCCGAAGGTCTTGATGAGCCAGATGGAGAGGAGAATGGAGGGGATCTGAAATATAAAACAGCGATTATAGGTTGTTTTTAAAGTTATTTTTATAACTTGAATTGATCATTGCGTTTGCGTTGGTTCATAGACCTGACACCAAGTGGACGAATTGTCGTCCGATGTAGTATATAAAAATTTAAATCATTTATTTGCGTAGCATGTGTGGTATAACAAGTGGTTATACAATTTTATTGGTTACCAGATTTTATTGTGCAAAAATTAGATTACCATCCAAAGATGAGCAGTGTCAATAAATATCACGTTGAACACTATTTTAAAATCACGTCATGTCCATACCAAATGTAAATTTAAACAAGTGTTCAAAACGTGATTAAAGGCCTATTGTCATTACGGTTTGACGTAGGTAAGTCTAGTCGATCGGTCGTCAACAGTCGAAATCTTATTGAACCAAGAAATATTTAAATGTAATAAGTGAATAAGCTCTATTTGAACCAACCTGAATGGCCCCGGCAGCAGAGACGCTGATGAACGGGTCTGGACTGGTCTGGCTGATGTACTGGTTCAGTCCGAAGAAGGTCACCCCAGTGATGAGCCAGATACCGCAGCAGCAAGACGTCTTGAGCCATAGAGAGCGCCGGAACAGTTCCGTGTAGTTCGGCTTTGGCTCGTCTGATCGCGACTGGATGGCTTGGGAGAACTCCGTTAGAGTTTCCTTTATTTTGGTTGTGGAACGGTTGTTTCTGGAAACGGAAAATAATAGTAAAGTTGTCTGACTGAGATTGTTTATGTGATAAAATAACAACTTTCATGTGAAGGTTTTTGGCTCTACAGCTCCTCTTTCTTTATTTCAATCCATCAAAAGATCAGGAGAGAGCTGGTTATTTAAATTTTTTGTGACTACAATTTGTTGATTTTTAAATGAATACTCACATCTCAGCTGCTCTCGTCACAATCTCCGTCGCTTCTTCAACCCTGCCTACACTGACGAGCCATCTTGGAGACTCGTTCAGCACGAAGAAATACCCCAGATATATCAGAGGAGGCACAGCCAGTGCCAACGTGTATGTGTCCCAACTCCTGAAGTAGTATGCGAAGAGTGGGACTGTCATGTGCCCAATGATGAAGGGGATTTGGAACAAACAGCCCAAAAGCTCCCTGTATCTCGGACCGACGGTCTCCATGATGATCACGAAGGATATGACCATGGTGCCCGCGGTAGCCAAGCCCAGGAAGAAGCGAGAGACAGTGAACACTGTGTAGTTGGGAGAGAAGGGGACGACGAATCCGAAAGCAATAAGTGTGGTAATCGAGAGGAGAAAGGTGTTCTTTCGGCCATATCTGAAACGGAACAAGATACTGTTATAACTAAATATTATAGCAAAATACTGACTACGTATAATAAACAATAGTTTTGGTGAATTTAGGCAAAAACACTTCACAAAGACGTCCTTTGTTTCGATAATTTAGATCTTAAGTATTTTTTATCTCATGTCATATTATTCACGTCACGTCTGCGAGCATTATTGTTATCGTTGTTATCTAAATATAATTTTCTGCCAGAGTCCTTGACACCGATCTACTGTCTGTTGATACAGGGATAAATACAACACTCGTACCTTAATCGTATTGCTCTTAATATATTGGCTTAATGTTGTCGATAATACTTTACCATTTAACAACATCCTGTATGTTTCAAGATGTCACAGATAGAAGGAAGTGCTTATTTTTGAGATTGTTAAGATTATACAGCTTTGATGATTTGACGCCTTTGTGTCCTCTGGCCTTTTGATTTGTGTATCTACCGAACTATGAATGCAGTTATCTGTCCTCAGAAATAAAGGAATTATTTCTTTGAGTAGACATATCAGGTGGCATAATAACAAAACTCCACCCTGTATTGTGAGAGGCTTTTAAAGATTTTAAACGAAAGTTATTTTGACTCGAGCTTGTCCGGTAGCATTCCTAGAATCTCAAACCAGGGGCAAACAAAACCATTCACCTGCTATGACTCACCTGTCAGATAGAAATCCGAAGAGTATACTCCCGATCAGTATACCCAACTGTAGCACCATCTGCGTGAAGCTGGCCAGCCACCGCCGCTCGCACACCAAGTCCCATTCCGACACGATGGTGTTGTCAAATATCCCTGTATCGTATTCGTATTTCATACATTCTGAATAACATTTGTTCTCTTCGAATGTCCCGTTCCTAAATACGGAACTAAAATTCAGTGATGAAGCATTATTCCTTGAATTTGACTCCAAAATTGGAATGTCCCTTGAAAACAATAAAGCTGAAGAATTTTTAAACTCTGCACATCGGAAAGTCAAGTTGGGGGTCAAAAATAATATTGCCATTTGAACCCATCCTGAAGAGAGCTTGACGAGAAAAACTGCCGCGAAAATTATGAACTGCCATTTTCCAAAATGGCCGATCAACTGCGATAGAGTGTCTTCTTTCCCTGTTGGTTTGCTCTGTGCAAAGTTTTGCGAAATTATCCTTTGAATTGTTTGGACCATTGTGAGTTTTTATTTGCTTAATAGATCGATAATCTCTTCGACAATTTTTATCTCCTTTTCTCTTTCTTTTGTTTGTCCACTGCTCTGCAGTCACTCTATCTTATGTCTTAATTTTTAAGATATTGGTGATATTAAACCATTGGTTTTTAATTTCCATTTTCTCGTCTGCAAAAGTGATCTTCCAAAACTGCGAAAAGATGAGCATGAATTTATATAAGTGATTTTATACTCAAGCATTTATTTAACATGCTAAATCTACATTATTTTACATAACAATATGACTTTCGTTACATTCTGAGTCAGAAACTAAAATTAAATATTGTAAACTCAAATTATAATAATGTTCGAGGCAGTTTGGACTGTCTCTGTGAGAATAAATAAAATAACTCTACTACTAAACTCGTAAAAAACAATTTTCATAAAGCATCATTTTATACAAATCACCGTGAATTTACTTTGTAATTTGTACGAGTTTAATTATTGTAATACATATTATAGCCTGACCAGGAACATAAAAACCCTGGCATAGAGGCGCGTCAATTGCATTTGATAGTGCAACACTGGGTACAGTCGTACATGTGTTAAATTAATAGGCTAACTTTATGTATCAGGAGTCAGGATTATAGGCTAATTTGATATTTTCATAAATTAACAAAAAAATATTAAATTTTAGGTAAACTGGTTTAAATAAATTAAATGAAACCATCAATCGAACAAGTAGGATTTTATTATTATTCATCAATAATAATCAAATTCTGAACTTGAATATTCAACTACAATGTCTGCTCATGAACGCTTCAAACTCGGTACTCATTTCCAAATTCCATAAAATTCGATACTTACAAAGTGACAAAAAACTTTAAAATAGGTAGTTGAAACAAACCACAGCTAATTTTCATAGTTGACTGTACTATACGATAAACATGTCAGTCAATTTGACAACCTTTGTCGGAAACATTATTCAATGAAAATATTGCCCGAACCCTTAGTATTTCTCTTCGACAAATACTTTAACACATTGTGAACCACTTTTCTTTCACGACTATAAAAAGATTTTAGCAATTTAATTCACAAAATCAATTGCGCACATTTAAAATAAAGTTTGTTTACACTTTGACAGCAATAGACTGACATGCCTTTACATCCCTTTGCCTTTATAAAATCTACGGAGATACACATTGTGAAAGCGTATATAAAAAAAGTATATCAATTTACTATTTATAAATAGTTCCAAAATACTGAACTGTCCTATCCATGACATTGACAGTGGGGCGCCACCGTCAATACCGGATCGCTGGTTCCGATTTTTGCCATGTTAAAAACCATATAGTTGAACGATGGTAGCGCCCCCCTGTCATTGAGTTTGGTGGGACAGTTCAGCGTGGGTCATCTTTAATAAGTTTTTTCCCCACTGCAACTGAATCAAACATGACATTTGACATTTTGGAACGTTAAAATAAAAAAGGGTAGGTAGGTAAGGGTAGTTCGAATTTTGAATTAAGTACACGCCAATGACGCTTGCAAGATGGTTATTTGCTACATAATCTAGAACGAACGGGTGCTTGTGCAAGTGAAGATATGGACCCACCAGTGGAATAATTTCTGAAGCTACGAAGTCGGTAAGTGTGCCTTACAAACAAATAAACACACTGGTTAATAATGTATGGGTTGCTGTAGCGAAGGTAATTTAATAGTATTATCATAATAACCAAAACAAAATGAATTATAGTGTCATCTTCATCATTTTATTTTTTGAAATTATGCTTATAAAACCGTTTTCATAGCCCAGTATTTAAATTTTAACAGTACCTACCATAGCTTTGGGATAATCTAATGGTTGTCATGATATTGTAATCGTATATCAAATCTCATTAAGGTTATTTATTTACTAAGTAGCGATTTATCAATCTCAAATCTGATATTTTTGTTGTGGTAGGTTAAGTTTACAAAAAAATATTTTTATTTACAACTGTATCTACCTTGAACGTAGTTTCTTTTTAATATACCACCTGCCTAATAAGAAGATCTTTATTACTTTTGTACCAAACCTCTACTTAAGTACACTGTGTAGAGGCACGTAGAAGTTAGTAAGTACTTTAAAAGATACCCACTTTAATACAACTTTTGCAACTTACTAATGTAAATACTTACTTAAAATTTGTCCAAGTTGTTGAGAGACTTGTTTACCTTTTCATTAAATTGATTTGAATTTTGCGGCGGGATAAATTTGCATATTTTATATTGGTGGCCGTTTAGTACAGATCATGTGCAAAATGCGTCTTAGCATTATTATTCTACTAGCTTTCCGCCCGCGGCTTCGCCCGCGTGGAATTTTGTCTGTCACAGAAAAACTTTATCGCGCACGTCCTTGTTTCAAAAACCGGAATAAAAACTATCCTATGTCCTTTCCCGGGACTCAATCTCTATGCCAAATTTCATCTAAATCGGTTCAGTGGTTTAGGCGTGAAAGCAAGACAGACAGACAGAGTTACTTTCGCATTTGTAATATTAGTAAGTATACATGGTATACATTGGCGGCCGTTTAGTAGAGACACAAGTAGAGATCACGTGCAAAATGCGTCTTAGCACTATTATTCTATGGTCTAAGGTGGATGGAAGGTCGCAATAATCTTAAGTGCTAATATAGTCAAGTGACCCAGTTTGACACCAGTTAAGTACATAGTGGTACTTAATAAGAGTTGAATTTAATGTTGAAATTGAATATTAAATTGCTATAACTGGGCACGGTAAATCAAATAGTTAACTTCGTTAATCCATTAGCTAAAAAGACAACTTTGTTAATTTTTAAACTTCGTGAAACATTTTGGAAGATTCAACAAAAGTCAAGGTCATATCGCTAATTCTTCACTTTTATAAATAGTAAATTCTATATTATAATTACGTTGCGTAGTGATTTAATTATAAAAAAATTTGGTATGAGCTATGAATCTTTAGCCAAGACATGAAATACTAAAAAGTAGAACGTATTTATTAACGTATTAATTAAACAAAATAAATAATTAAGCTGGGTCGTCAGCGCGGTTATTCCCTATACAATCAACAAAAACATTCAACATTTTCAACCGACTTCAAAAAAGGAGGAGGTTCTCAATTCGACCCGTATGTTTTTTTTTTTTTTTTTCTATGTTTGTTACGCGATAACTCCGCCAATTATGAACCGATTTGAACAAATCTTTTTTCGGCGTATAGGCATAGCTGGGCATTAACTCGTTAATCCGTTAATCGTTAATTAACGAAGTTAACATTTCTATTAACGGATTAACTTTTAAGTTAACTTTAAAAAACGTTAACGGACTCGTTAACTTCCGTTAAATTATCCTAAGTCCGTTAATCGTTAATCCAGTACCTACTATTTACCAAAAAGATACAGGAGACACGCTGTAAAACGCGTTCTGACAAGTACGTTCGGGCTTCCAGAACTTCCAGAACCCAAAACAACAGTTTTTGTAACCACTGATGTAGATCACTGATGCAACGATATAAAAAATGCACTTTTTTGTTATTTATTTACTTACAACTGAATTTAAGACCAGTTCTCCTCAACTGATTGAGCTGAAATTTGGTATACTTATGTAAGTACGATGACAATGCAATGTTATGGTACCATTGAGCTGGTCTGATGATGGAGTCAGGAGGTGGCCATAGTATAGGCATAGCTGGGCATTAACTCGTTAATCCGTTAATCGTTAATTAACGAAGTTAACATTTCTATTAACGGATTAACTTTTAAGTTAACTTTAAAAAACGTTAACGGACTCGTTAACTTCCGTTAAATTATCCTAAGTCCGTTAATCGTTAATCCAGTACCTACTATTTACCAAAAAGATACAGGAGACACGCTGTAAAACGCGTTCTGACAAGTACGTTCGGGCTTCCAGAACTTCCAGAACCCAAAACAACAGTTTTTGTAACCACTGATGTAGATCACTGATGCAACGATATAAAAAATGCACTTTTTTGTTATTTATTTACTTACAACTGAATTTAAGACCAGTTCTCCTCAACTGATTGAGCTGAAATTTGGTATACTTATGTAAGTACGATGACAATGCAATGTTATGGTACCATTGAGCTGGTCTGATGATGGAGTCAGGAGGTGGCCATAGGATTTCTTAAAGGAAACGGTGGAAACTTATCGAGTTTGGGTTTGTTGGATTTGTCTTTCGAGCACTTTGGTATTATTCGAGTAAATTGTATAGTAATTGTCCCAAGGCTCTGAGATTGAGTTGAGATACAACTAAAAAGTGTATAATAAAATTATAATAAAAAAAATCTTTTTTTTAAAAACAAGCTTTTGTTTTGAAATGCAGTTGTACTAAAACGAAAAAAATAATTGTATACTTATGCAAGGTTTAAATAATTTCGAAAGCTTGTAGCGCAAAAATAAAAGAGGAATAAATTCCATGCGCGATACAAGCTTTCGAAATTATACAGGGTGTTTCTTGTAAGGTGTCAAGCCGATAGCATTTTTGTGATTCGGCAGTTACATTCAGGACAGCCAATTCCTCTGTGGTTTAGGATTCCGGGTGAAGCTCGCTGATCATCCATCAGTTTCCATCAGGTCAGATGAAGGGCAAGAGCTTCCTCGTTGTGGATAAAAAAATGTTCTGTTCAGTTATTTTCTCTAAACGTAAACTTTTCAACCGACTTCAAAAAAGGAGGAGGTTCTCAATTCGACCCGTATGTTTTTTTTTTTTTTTTCTATGTTTGTTACGCGATAACTCCGCCAATTATGAACCGATTTGAACAAATCTTTTTTCGGCGTATAGGTAATACCTCAAGGGTGGTCCCATTTAAATTTAATAATAAAAAAAACAACCCCCAAGGGTGGAAAATTGGGGATGAACTTTTTTATACGCAATATCTCCGCCGATTATAAACCAATTTGAACGATTATTTTTTTGTTGAATAGGTATTATCAAAAGGGTGGTTTCATGCGAATTTGAAGAAAATATTTCACCCCCAAGGGTGGAAAATTAGGGATGAACTTTTTTATACGCAATATCTCCGCCGATTATGAACCAATTTTTTTTGGTCTCAGTGTACTGCCTACCTTCAGTGGTAACATCAAGGTAATAATTAGTTAACTAAAAAGCAAGAAATAAGTAAAATTTTATAAAAAAAAAAACCGACTCCAAAAAACCTACACTAAAACGTAGAAAAATAATTACTAATTACCTACTTATTTATTAGGACGAATTATTAATATTTATGTAGGTATACCATGATTCATACTTTTGGAGTCGGTGCAGGCAAACTTTACATGTTTCATAATCTTGGCACCGACTCCAGAAGTATCAATCATGGTATACCTACATATATTAATAATTCGTCCTAATAAATAAGTAGGTAATTAGTAATTATTTTTCTACGTTTTAGTGTAGGTTTTTTGGAGTCGGTTTTATTTTTTTTTATAAAATTTTACTTATTTATAGACAATTTTGTTGAATGTTGACATGTTTTGTTGGCTTCAGTTTGTCATTTTATCATTAGCATTTAAATGCTTTCGGTAAGTACGATAATCAGCCTAATGGACAAATTACCCACTATTTTGTATTTATTGTAAGTAGACTAAGGCTGAGTTGCACCATCTTAACTTTAACCGTAACTATAAACTTTGACCGGTGTTGTTGTATGGAGTTTGATTGACAAGACTTGACGTTTGTTAAAGTTAATGTAAGACGGTGCAACCCAGTCTAAGGCCCAGATTCTTGATCCGTAGTTAAAATAGCAATGCCAGTAACCAACTCTCTAATGACAAGTTGTTAAATGACAGCAAAATGCATTATTGAACGATGGTTAGCTTGACTTTTAGTTCAACTTCTAAACTCAAAATGTGTAAACATTAGTAACAAAGCCAATTGGTTATTTTAATTTTAACTACTGGTAAAAAAACTGGGCTTCAGTTTATTGTTTTCATAGTAGTAGTAGTAGGTAGATAGAAGTATGGTTGTCATACCTATAGCAATTATGAAAAGTTCATTGCACCTTTTCACAAAATGTAAGCCTACTGTTTAAAATAGTAGGGCAGGTAAGTGCTCTTTACAATAGGACGTAGAAGTGAAATGCCTTCGAATCCATGAGCGGTGACATATGCTTTAATTTAATTTCGTTGTAAATATAGTTTTCCGTGATTTCAGCCTTGGTATGGTAGTAAAAGTTGTTCGTCTGATGGACGCATTCACTTCCATAATATGTCATTAAATCTACATCCGTTAAATACTTATTTACTTATTTTATAATATTTTTTTAGAGCAGAATGAGGGCTATCGTTTTAGCGCTCACCAGTTAGCGCCACTGTAGAGTAAGGTCCTGTCACTTGCTAGTAGCGAAGACAGTGGCGCCAACTTGTGAGCGCTAAAGTGGTAGGAGGACTATCGTATTTGCACTCATCAAGATGGCGCCACTGTAGAGTAAGGTCCTGTCAATCGCCAGGGGTGCCAACTGTTAAGTATAAAAAAATAGCCCTCATTGACGATGCCTAGGTAGGTACAGTTAGCGTCAAATAGTTCGTGACACCCAAAGTGGCAAAAGAGTTGACAACACAACCTTATTCCAGTTGTAACAAACACGTGTTGAGAACTTTTTGGCTACTTTGGGTGTCACGAAGACACTGACTCTACTTATTGTAAATGCAAATTACATATTTTATTTCTATTGTTGTCGTGCTCGTGATACATAAAATAAATACATAATAAAAAACAAACAGTAGTTCGTACCATCCTTTTAAGCAAAATTTTTGCTTGTTTCAGAATGCTCTCTGAATAACCTCATAAAAAGTTATTTTAGACAATAGTAACACTCATATGCAGACACAAGATTACATTTTATAATGATATATTATTTTCTCGGCAGTCGTCATCAACAAAGCAATGTCGGCAAGAAAAGGCGCGCGTTCCGGACTTCAGAAATCGGACTGCGGGACACAGATTCGAACCCCGTATGAGGCAAAGGTTAGTGTAACAAGGATGCATACGTGATTATTGCTATTGATAAAACAAAACTTGACAACAAAGTGTGTTTAAAGTTCATAGCAGACTTATCAACTCGGAAAGGGATCCACACCGTGTTGCCTTTCGCGAGCTGTCATCTCCTTTCACGAGCTGTCATCGACTTTCGCGAGCTGTCATCGCCTTGCGCGCTGTCAATCGCGAGGCGAGGCGTTTACGTACGGTGCGGATAAGTATGCGTAGCAGTTATGGAGTTTCATACAAAGAATACTGACCTCTGTTACGGTTACGATCCCTTTCCCGGTTGATAAGTGTGCTGTGTCCTTATGTTATCTATTGGCTATAGTTACGGATAGCACTTGAAGCAAAACGCTACGGCATCTTAATGTGGATCTCAAAGGTGCTCTTTTGCTACAAAAATGTAGCCTAATGTGCTATAAACTATGCAATAAAAATGTTTATTTTGAGATACGTTGTCTAGGTATTAAAACTTTATTCGTAGTTGACCGTAAATGCGACAGCAAATTAGAGTACCTATAAGGCTGAGTTGCACCATCTTACTTGAACTTTGTCAAACTCCATACAAAAGAACCGGCTATTGTTATTGTTACGGTTAAAATAAGGTTGTAACTCAACTTAAGTAATTTTAAGCTTTTAGCAAAATATCACGTGTGCTACGGCTACAGATGGCACGTGCTTACTTTATGCTGTCCGTACCTTTTGTTTATACCACCACTACCACAACGCAATGGATTATATTACTCTGATTTTACTGAAAGAAGTCCTTTTAAAAAAACTCATTTTATTTTTGCACATAGGCTTTTAAAAAGCACTTTTACACGTCCCAGTATATTGACCCTATCACTGCTTCGGGACAATAAATGGGCCAGTTTTATTTCATGTGTTCCCACCCACCCATGGTTTCTTAGTAACTTTACCTCGTTCGTTCGTTTCAGCCGAAAGACGTCCACTGCTGGACAAAGGCCTCCCCTTTACCTCACTTCAAGTTATTTATAATCACGAGGTATTAAGTAGGTAATTGGCAGAATATTATTATCACGACTTATAAGTATACTATTAATAATTGCCAGCGATGTAAGAAAATAATACTTTATCAGGTATCTATAGTAAAACATTCGTAAAGAATTATTAGAATCATTACAATAATCGCGCTTGTTTATCCTTATGACATGACAAGAAAGAAACTAATATCGCTGCAAAACTAGCTTGTGGTTTTGCTAAAATTACTCGATATAATTACATACACGTGGGTAATAATGTTATTACGATTGAGTTAAAACTACCAGAGACCATAACATAACATAACATGGCTCTATAAAAAATTGCGTTCTCTTTATTTACCAGTGATTTCGTCCGCATTTAAATTTTCAAAAACAATAGATCTACATATTTTTACTTGAGATGATCTATTTTTATAATTTAGTAAGCTACATGTATAGCTACGTAAATAAAGTGAATACTCAGCTATCTATGGCGTGCTATTCACGTGTTATCAGTTTATTTTGTCTGAGTTTTAGATGGAATCAGATAAGTTACTTACTCTAAACTCCAGAATGTTATTGGTTTGGTTGATTCCTACATCCTACACTATATCCCCAAGCCCCGTTAATAGGCTAGTTTCCTAAAAAATTTTTTAGTCCGTCAATTTTAGTATAAAAAAATATTGGACACAGATATTTGTAATTGTCAATTAAACGAATAATTACTAAGTTATGGTGCCTTGAAATTTCGCGCGACGTCATAAAGAGCTGCACTTTTAAGCACTCATTGACGTCACGGGCCTCTACTTTTGAACTTTGGAGCGCTTTATCTGTTTAAATTTACATCATTGAATAAGTGAAAAAATACATGTCGAGTATTTTTGGATAAGTTAACTAACGGACTAATTAAAACTCTTGCTAAAGACCGAAGAGATGCGATCTGGAGTCAGGAATTGCACACTACGGATTGGTGCAGAGGGTGTGGAAAGAATCCACAATTAAAAGTCAAGACAAAAAAGTTAGATTAGAGAAGTTAAAAGATTACCATGCTGTAAAATAATCGTATAGAATTTTATCAAATCAATTGATCATCACAGTAAGATCTTAATTATCTATGCAAATTAAGAGACCTCACATTTATTTTTACACCGAGTAATTATAAATACTTAATACACAACGTGGATCGTGCTTGTACTCGTAAAGCAACAACAATAAAAATAAAAATACTCACTGATATTTAAAAAAAATCCAGCTGTATCTAGTCCAAATTAATATAGACTCAATTTCTCAGTGAAATATTTTTGACCCTATTTTCACTGATATCACAAGGATTAGTCACTCTAAATACAGTTCAAGAAACACTCAACGCACAAGACAGCTCAGTAAATACTGAGAGGAAAACGATATTATCACTCGTGTTGTGAATTAACAGCGACATCGGGCAATTTGTCAAGTGACTAGACTTCCGAAGCGCGATAAAGGTGAGCAGCAACCTTGCGAGTGAGCGGGAAACTGATAAGGAAATGTTTAAAACAATTCTCTATGCCTTAGTTGGAAAAACTTTCTTACGTCCACAAGTATAAAAAAGAGAGCAAATAAGTAAAATAATACATTTAAATTAGTGAATTAGAATAATTATTATCACGTCCTCAAGAAGATAACGTCATTTGGTTGTAAAAATAAAAGGAATTTAATTTGTGAACTAGATCAAAAATTACAATATTTATCAAACAGGTTCGTTACGTATTCTGAAACCATGGGTAAACTAGTTAATCTTTTAGCATAATGTTTTTAATCCGCTTCTCTTTACTAGATTATAGATAATATTAGACCAAACGCTTAGTGTTGACTTTGGAAACTCCTGAATTTCTTTTAGATTTAACAAGAGTCATGTCGGTAAAAAATTTGAATGTTTTCTGGTCATGTTTCAACCGTCTGAATCAACATTCTGCCTGCAACAAAACACAGCATTGAGGCATAATGTCCTCCCGTAAGGTCGCACACTCCGTGCGTTAGTGATTTTGTATCACAATTATAAATATTCATCAGCCAAAATTGATTATGACTGCTTTTATGTTGCAGGCCATAACAGACACTTTCAGGCGGGATGGGTAGGTTTAAGAAATTTAAAAACTCGTTGAAATGAGTAGATTTTTTAAAAGTAGAGTTTACCATTAATACTTATTATTATTTTATTACAGACAAGCTTTTGTCCGCGTTAATTTCGTTCTGTCACAGAATGTCCATCCATATTATATCCTACGTTCATGAGAAAAAATGTAGGTCTCTAATTGTAAAAAAGAATTTTTCATACCGGTCGGCGGTCCAGTAGTTTCAGTCTTTCAGACAATCGAACAATCAAACAATTGAATCTTTCCTCTTCATCTTGTAAACTTACGACCGTATTCACAAACATTACTATGAGGTCTCACAGTGCGCCTGGACGCACAGGGTTACACACGAACCAATCACAGAGCTCTATTCCACGCTGTGCGTTCGATTTGCTGCTTCACTTAGCAAGCATCGTTTCTGAATACGGGCGTTACAATATGCGACAGCCATGCATTGAAAGGATTTTTTTTATCCGCAACGAGGAAGCTCTTGGCCTGTATCTCACCTGATGGTAAGTGACGATCAGGCCGAAGGTGGAAGCGAGCTTCACCCGGAATCTTCAACCACGGAGGAACTGGCTATCTTACTAGAGGAACTAGTACAAAAAATAGATATTAATTTACAAAACATTGAGAACTGGTTAAATGAACACAATCTTAAACTAAACATTTCAAAAACAAAACTCATCCAATATCATCCTCACCAGAAAAAACCTTTAATAATAAAATGTAAATTTAATGGCAAATGCGTAGAAGAAGTTGATTCATGCAACCTACTGGGCGTAGAGGTTGATACCTACTTAAATTGGAAACCACATGTAAATAAAATTTCGACTAAGCTATCCAGATTTATCTATGCGCTTTACGAATTAAAAAAATGCACAGATCTAAAAACAGCCACATCTGCATATTATGCCTATGCGCATGCTTGGCTTAGCTATGGAGTGATACTATGGGGGAATAGCACAGATGCCAAGGACCTTTTCATTCTACAAAAAAAATGTGTAAGAATAATAGTAAACATAACTGAAACTGAAAGCTGTAGAAAGCACTTCACATCACTAAAAATATTAACACTAACATCAATTTATATCCTAGGTCTATGTAAATTTGTCAGAGAGAATAAAATTATTTACTCTCAAGCAAAAGAACAATATTCAGCACCCCGTAACTTAAGATACAAAGATAGATTAGCATTACCCGACACTAAGCTTCACCTGGTAAGATCAGGAGTCTACCACATGTCCATAGTAGTCTATAATAAACTGCCTACCTATTTAAAAAATATTGAAAAAGACTCATTATTCTTGGCCAAGCTAAAAGAGTTCCTTATATCAAAATGTCTTTATAGTATTCAGGAGTTCTATAATTTGAGTAGGATGCGATGATGAAAATTATGTATGAATAGGTATGGAGAAACATTATTGTATTTTAATTGTAATGTAAAATTATGTAAACTAATTAATTTTATAATTTATCAATATTAATAATTATTACTAACTATTGTAGAATATTTAGTAATGTACCTACGATACAAGATTTGCAACACCCTTACAGGGTCATAAGTTGAGACTAAGTTTAAGATCACCACCTATGTACACTTATGAAGCAATAAATAAATGATTATGATTATGATTTTTACCTACATTACATCCAATATTTCTTAAATAGAAAGACACGGGTCTTAACGCGATATTTATTAATGAGTTACATTAGTCTGCTTGTGACCACGGCTGCAGCATCGCAGCTGAAACGTCAAGCCGTGAGTACATAACGTAACTCATTAATAAATGTCGCGTCAAGACCCGTGTCTTTCTATTTAAGTTGAAATTGAACGCGATAGTTTATAATTAAATTAAAAAAAAAAAAAACGACCTGAAATGCGTGAAGACAAAAAAAACTAAAAATTAAAAAAGTTCATTCCGAATTTTCCACCCTTGGGGGTTGTTTTTTCTATTATTAAATTTAAATGGAACCACCCTTGAGGTATTACCTATACGCCGAAAAAAGATTTGTTCAAATCGGTTCATAATTGGCGGAGTTATCGCGTAACAAACATAGAAAAAAAAAAAAACCATACGGGTCGAATTGAGAACCTCCTCCTTTTTTGAAGTCGGTTGAAAATCTTATATCCTATACCTTACAGACTCGTCGCCGCCTAGAAACGGAGGGCACGACTGGGGTAGCCACCGACACAGCCACCAAAGACAGAGACAAGCGTCCACAGCCTGCGTCCCCTCGTCATGCGCCTAAAGAGCATCGCCTCAATGGATATGTAAGTAATACCTAACCACCGAGCCACCTATCCCTAGTGCTTTCTAAATAGCCACCAATGACCTTAGGAGCCACCTCATACCAGTAGCGACCTGAGCCACTAGTGGCCAACACTGCCATTAGTGGCCACTTCATCCACCAGTGGCCACTTTATAGACAGCGACAATGGCTATTCATAGCCACCAAAAAAAAATAAAAAAGTAAAAAATAACCAAAGATCGAGACAAGCGTCCGCAGCCCGCCTCGCCACGTCACGCGCCTAAGGAACACCGCCTCAATGGATATGTAAGTAATACCTAACCACCGAGCCACCTATCCCTAGTGCTTTCTAAATAGCCACCAATGACCTTAGGAGCCACCTCATACCAGTAGCGACCTCAGCCACTAGTGGCCACCACTGTCATTAGTGGCCACTTCATCCACCAGTGGCCACTTTGTAGACAGCGACAGTGGCTATTCACAGCCACCAAAGATCGAGACAAGCGTCCGCAGCCCGCGTCCCCTCGTCATGCGCCTAAGGAACACCGCCTCAATGGATACGTAAGTGATAATGATAGCTATAGCATAGCCACTAAGCCACCAGGCCACCGAGCCACTAAGGACCGAGACAACAGTTTAGTTAGTTAGCCAGTTACATCTTCTATGCCTCAATGGATACGTGAGTGATAGTCACCGGATCACCGATCTATTGTGCTTTCTAAATAGCCACCAATGACCTTAGGACCTCATAGCCACCAGTGGCCACCTCAGCCACCAGTGGCCACTTTATAGCCCGTTCCTGGTGGCTATAAGGCGATTACATCAGGTGGTCGTTACATCAGAGCAATTGCTCTCAAGGAGTATTTACATGATCATATTTTTTGCTCTACTAAATACACAATATCATGTTATTAACTAAGGCTCCAATCGATTTTATAGCCACCAGGTGGCTAGTAGAAGAGCCACTTAAGTGACCTATACTCAGTATACTGACCGCTAACCAACATAATTTATGCTACCACAGAATAATTTTCAAAATATTTTTGTTGCAGTCAACCACAGACAAGCCGACTACAGAAAAGGAAGCGGAGGTCAGGACGACGCCCGCGCCCTCTCCCGACAGACATGCCAAGGTGAGACCATAGAGTAGACTATAGTCATCAGGTCATTTAGTCTCCACTGCACGACCCTCTTACTTACCAGAGGCAAGAGGAAAGAAAGAAAATAACTTTATTTTGGCAACAAAGACATACATAAAAAAATGAACAAAGTTGCCAAAAAAGGTCAAGGAGTTGACAAAGGCATATAGGTTGTCTGGAAGAGATCGCTTCATAACGATAAGACCGCCTAGTTGTACCTTGTGTGTTCCTTTTTTCTGTTCTTATCTTTGGTGTGCAATAAAGTGTAAAAAAAAGGCCTACACTCCCCACGCTGGCCAGACGGGTTGGGGAGGTTTAGATATTTTTGGAAAAGAAAAGGGCCGTTTTTTACCCACAACGCAGAATAGAGATTTTTACTCTTCTGACCTGATAGGAAAGTTATATGATCAGGCTGAAGGTGGAAGCGATATTCATACGAAATCCTCAACCACAAGGGACTAGGGAGGTTATCGTACCTCCAACATGGTTGGAGACATGTGAGATGTTAACATTGTATTCCCTCCCAACCAAGGGACGTCCACTGCTGGATAAATGCCTCCCTCACGACTGGTCCTGGATTGCGACGATCTCGCGTAAAGACGTCTTTCAATCTTCACCAGATCGTCAGTCCACCTAGTAGGAAACCTATCTACTCTCCATCTTGCGATCCATGATCACCAATCGATTACTTTTCTGCCCCAATATTTCGATATTCGCGCAAAGTTCTTGAGTGGCGACCACGAGCCAGAATACGTAGCGTGGGCAGGCCTCCCACTAGGTGGACCGACGATCTGGTGAAGGTCGCGGGAGGTGCCTGGATGCGAGCGGCGAAGAACCGGTCTTTGTGGAAATCCTTAGGGAAGACCTATGTCCAGCAGTGGACGTCTTTCGGCTGAAACGAACGATTTCGATATTCCATATTTCCTAATGTATCTTAATGTTTGTATGTGTTGTTCGCAGGAAACAAGCAACTCTGTGGTTACTGGTGCGACAACAAATAGACCAGAGAGACAAAGCGTGCCGCCTTGCAAACCACGCGCGCCTGCTCCTGGTAAGTCCAATGAAATATCTTTTATTACATTTCGGCCAAAATTGGGCTTTTGTGAACGTCAAAAACATTAAGGCTGAGTTGCACCCACTAACTTAACGGTAATTAATAATGATAACCGGTGCTTTTTGTCTGGAATTAGACAGATTTTTGACGATTGTCAAAGTTAAAATAAGATGGTACAACCCAGCCAAAGAATTAAATAAATGTGTAAGGCCAATACTAGGACCATTGGCGTGTCTCCAAAAGAGCTGGACGCCTATGGCTAGGAGACCAGTATGAGGTTATTCATACTTCTTATTTTTATGAAACTATCCAGTATCAGTTGCTGAAACTCTTATGTAACCAGGTTTTGGACAACTTTTCACACTGTTAAATTATTTGTAACCTTCTACCAATGACCTCCCACACATAGTTCGTGTATCTGCACAAACATACACGTTACTTTGACATTACAAAAATAAAGTCTACCCAGTTGTAACAAGCATCATTTCCATCCGCAGTTGGCGGGCCGACACTGTCTCACTTGTTAAATAACTGGTTTCTTGTGTTTCAAAAATAAACCCTACCCAGTTGTAATAAGCATCATTTCCATTCGCAGGCGGCGAGATAACTCTGTTTCACTTGTAAAATTATTAGTTTCTTTTGTTTCTAAAATGAACCCTACTTCCTTATAATAAGCGTCATTTCCGTCCACAGGCGGCGGCCCCACGCTCGCTCGTTTGTAAAATTTTTGGTTTAATGTGTTTCAAAAATAAACCCTACTCCCTTATAATAAGCGTCATTTCCGTCCATAGGCGGCAGGCCGACACTGGCTCGCTTGTAAAATCCTTGGTTACTAGTGTTTCAAAATCAATCTTTTAAACTGAGATCTCCAACCCGCCTGCCAAGCGTGGAGATTATGGCAAAACCCTCCACTATAGTGGAGGAGGCTCATAGTCCTTAAATCCTATGAGCCTCCTCCTTCTTCCTTGGTTTCTTGTGTTTCAAAAATTAACCCTACTCCGTTATAATAAGCTATTTTTCCGTGGCCGACGCTGGTTTCAAAAATGAAGCTTACTCCATTGCAATAAGCGTCATTTCCATCCACAGGCGGCGGCCCAACACTAGCTCGTTTACGCGTGGTAACAGCGCCTCCTACGTGCGTGCAAGAATTAGCAGCCCAAGCCTCGCCTCATACTCCAGGTAGTTGTATTTTGTTCTTTAGCATTACATCGTCATTGTCATCATTATGTGCTCAAAAATCCAGGTTTTAGTACTAAAGCCTGGTCCGTGAGCACGTATAATTTTGTCCAATGACCCCAAGCTACCCATCCTTATCGCTCGCGCGTTATATTGCTGTTGCGACTGTGCGACGCGCGCCCGCAGTGAGTGTGCGAGCGAGACAGCAACATAATTACATGCGAGCGATAAGGATGGGTACCTTGGGGTCATTGGACAAAAGTCTACGTGCTCGCAGACCAGACTATACTACTGGACACAAGACGTCCACGACTGGACTGGATAAAAGACGTCCACTTGGTTCACACACTGTTGGTTCCAGCTGAAAACCAGCTTCTCGAGATGACGTTTGTGCCATGTCGCGATTTTTGCTGAGCGGACGCCTGTTCAGCATATTTTTATTTTAAGTTAATCATGTCTACTCTTGCTTTGTTTACCACATTGTGCTGAATAAAGATTCACTACTGGACAAAGGACGTCCACTACTGGACAAAGGACGTCCACTACTGGACAAATGACGTCCACTACTGGACAGTGGACGTCCACTACTGAACAAAGGACCTCCCCTAGTACTAACTTGAGTGACTTTATTCCAGGCGAAGCAGCCAGCCCCAGAATCGTAGCCGATGTGGACAGTGTACATTCGGACACGCACTTTAAGAGAGGTCAGTGTGTTAATAAAAATACTTACCCCCTTACTAATAAAAAGTTACACAGTTGTTGAACACTGTTTTAAAATGACATTTCCATACTAAACGTCACTTTAAAACACTGTTCAACGAGCGTGTAAGTTTTATTAGTAAGGAGGTAAGTGATTATTTTTTTAAATAAGTCAGAGAAAATAGTTTTTGTTATACTTGTAAGTACCAATTACTTATCCATATAGTATATTAGAATACTCGAACGGGATAAAAAGTATCCTATGTCCTTCTCCTGGCTCTAAACTACCTCCCTGACAATTTTCAGCTAAATCGGTTCAGCCGTTCTTGAGTTATAAGCGAAGTAACTAGCACGACTTTCTTTTATATATATAGATTAGAATACTGCATAGTCCGCGCCATAAGCATCATAAATTCAATTTCCAAATAAAGATAGGTTTACTCAAAACATCAATGTTATTCAGTTTTGTTACCAAAATGACCCGTTTCTATTGGCAGGGGGAAATTCGAAATAATAACCCAGAATTGACAAAATCCGGTCGCCGAGCTCATAGAATTTCGTTCAATGACCCCAAGCTACCCATCCTTATCGCTCACGCGCTCGCACACTCACTGCGGGCGCCAGTCGCACAGTCGCGACAGCAATATAATTACGCGCTAGCGATAAGGATGGGTAGCTTGGGGTCATTGGACGATATTCTATCTGCTCGGCGACCGGACTTTAGTAGCGCACTCCTGACAATGTGACAGCTCGGACGGTTCAGTGATGGACAACTGTATATTAATGAGTTTAGTTGGTGTCATTTCTAAGTCTTGTTTTTCTGGCCAATAGGCGGGCGACGCGGCGGTCGCGCGAGAGCAGATCAAAGCTACACACAATTCGCAGTCATGGACGATGAGAACGTGTCAGCTTTGCAACAGGTGAATATTATATTATTATTATATTATTGGAGTACTGTATTGGCGCCACTATCGAAAAATTTCCTTTCTTATCTACTGGCGCTAACTCATGGACGTTTACAATCAAAGAGAGCTTCCGTATTTTATTGTGGACGTTTCGTTGTCCATCTTTTTCGTCAGTGACGCTCACTAGTGAAGTCATAGGACCTAACTATTCGGTGGCGCCAACTGGTGTGTGATTGGTTCTTCCTTATTCATTAGCGGCGCCAACTGATGAGTGATACAGCCCTACTCGCCAGAGGCGCCAACTGATGAACGATTGGTTCTTACTTGCCTATACCACCAAACAAGGATCTTACTCGCCAGTGGCGCCAACTGGTGACTGATATGCGTTGACTCAGTGGCGCCACTGGTATTTATTTTGGAAAACCAGGGTTTTACAATGTGTAGTAACAACCTCTGACAAGTATTTACTTGCTCGTACCTATTTTGAACTAAAATCAATGCAAGAAGATTTAGTAAACCATTTTTCTTTACAACAGGTGACAAAAGGGGGCGCGCTCACTCTGGTTTCTCTATGGAAGTCGCAGTTCGATGATTCAGAAGAAACCACAGACAATGAATGGAAGCAGGAACAATTACAGGTTAGTTGTAAAATATGTATTCGTCTTTTTTTTTGCTCGTCAATAAGGTTTAACAAATTAAATTTATTACTTTTAAAATAATGTGCAGGCTTGATTAGTCCAAAACTGTATCTAATATTACCAGGGAATCCTAGGGATGATTAAAATCCTTGTCACATATCACCAGTTGTGTGTTTTGCGTAACTTTATAACCCAAACCTCGTCATTATCAGTTTATTTGGTTTCCACTGCAGGAGTTCGACCCTCTAATTTGACAGACGCAAATAGAGAATTTGGCTTACAATATACATAATTTGATGTTCTGAAAAGCCATTTTTTTATCCACAACGAGGAAGCTCTTGGCCTGTATCTCACCTGATGGTAAGTGACGATCAGGCTGAAGGTGGAAGCGAGCTTCACCCGGAATCCTCAACCACGGAGGAACTGGCTATCTTGCCTCTAAATGCCGGAACACAACAATGCTGTTAACATTGTTGTTATGGCGACAGACTTAGGTAAGATGGTGGTAGCTAGCCAGGCGGACTTAGAACAAAGCTTATAGCTAATACGCCAAACCTCTTTATTATCAGATTATTTAGTCTCCACTGCAGGAGCTCGACCCTCAAAAGTGCCAGACGCAAATAAAGAATTTGAATTTGGCTTACAATATTCACGGTGGTCACACGAGGCCTGATGTTCTAAAGCCAAATTGCTGAAAAAATATTTATTTATTTGTTTAAAATATTTATTGCACACATAATAAACAGTGGTACGTCCGGCGAGCTTAATGCCATGTGGCATTCTCTCAGAAAATTAGACCAAACAGAGAATTTAAGTAGAATTTATGAATTTGTTCTTTCCAGTCGCCAGAACACCGCTGCGGGCGCGGCCAAAGCGCTGTATCCAGCTGTTCGAACGCTGCGCGCACTCAATTAGGAAGGACTCACTCTACTACGCAGCATCAGACGCAGTTGACACAACCGGTGGCGAATCCTGCACCGCCTAGTGCACCACAGGTAATTATGTTGCTAGTTTCTAAGACCGGCTTCGTCTGTGACAGTTGGCGCCAACTGTTATAGGAACTTAGTTGCCATTGGCGCCAACTGAGCTTTTGATAGGTGGCGCAAACTTTAGTCTGATAGTGTATAGTCTTACTCACTAGTGGCGCCAAATACTGACCCGTGGCGCCAACTAATGAACAGTGGCGCCAAATGGATGAGTGACATGGCTTTAGTCAAAGCGCTGTATCCAGCTGTTTTAATGCTGCGTGCAAGCAATTAGGGCGAACTCACTCTTCTACGCAGCATCAAACGCAGTTGACATAACCGGTGGCGAACCCTGCACCGTCTAGCGCTCCTCAGGTACTTAATATTCACTAATTTTGTATTACAGTACAGGCCACCTGTCAAAAGCTCAGTTGGCGCCAACTACTTGGCAGTGGAGCCAACTACTCGTAGTGGAGCCAACTACTTGGCAGTGGAGCCAACTACTCGTAGTGGAGCCAACTACTTGGCAGTGGAGCCAACTACTCGTAGTGGCGCCAACTGGGGACTGACACGATTTTATTTGCCAGTTACGTAAACTGGAGAGTGATGGGTTCTTTTTCGATAGCTGATTAATAGCAGGATTTCACTCGCCAGTGGCGTACCAAGTATCAATCTTACATTAACAATTAATGCCATTAAAGCGCCTTATTACCATGTCCGACTTCAACCGACTCTCCTTCATATTTCAAAATATCCATATTCCATAAACATTATATTCCAGGTGTCCCCCCTCCAAGCCACTACAGCAGAGCCGCCGCCCGCCCGGCCCAGCGAGCCCGCCCGAGCGGCCCGCTGCTTGAACATCCCTGGAATTGAGGCCTATCCTGCGCTTCAACCAGCTCTGCCTAGGGCCTGGACGCTGCCGGCTATTGGTGAGTTCAGCTACCTGTCCGTTTCAGCCAAATGACGTCCACTGCTGGACAAAAGTCACCCCCAAAGGATCTCCTGCAATCTTCATTATATTATCGGTCTATCTGCCTAGAGCGTGGACGCTGCCAGCTATTGGTGAGGATATACTGTTGGATTGTCAGGTCATTTAGTCTCCACTACAGGATTAACTACAGGCAAAAGGATTTAGCCTACAGGCGCCACGCTGGCCAAATTTCACAGTTTCATCGCCAGGATGTTCACTGCTGGATTAAGATTGTTCGTTTCAGCCAAATGATGTTCACTGTTGGACAAACGCTTTCCCCAAGGATTTCCAAGTAATGCAGGTCTGGTCTGCGTCTGCGTCTGATACGTTGCTCACATCCAGGTGCTTTCTGCGACTTTCACCAGATTGTCGGCACACCTACCCACACTACGTCTTCCGGCCCGTGGTCGCCTTTCGAAGACTTTTTTGTCTCCACTCCAGGAGCACTTCGTTTTAACGCAAAGAACGTCGGAGGTCGCCAAAAACTTCCACGATACATCGAGGCGCTTCCCGCAATATACGCGGCCCGCTGCTTGAACATCCCTGGAATTGAAGCATATCCTGCGCTTCAGCCAGCTCTGCCTAGGGCGTGGACGCTGCCGGCTATTGGTGAGTTCAGCTACTTGTCCGTTTCAGCCAAACGACGTCCACTGCTGGACAAAGGCCTCCCTAAGTTCTGCGTTGCCCGCATCCAGGTACTATCGCTATTTGTGAGAATATACTGTTATGTTGTAGGTACATTTATCATCATCAGGTCATTTAGTCTCCACTGCAGGCACAAACTTCCAATTTACCAGAAGCAAGAAGATTTGGTTCGTTTACGAGTTTCCTCATTTCTGATTCGATCTCGCAAAGAAACACCAAGCTTAGCCCTCTCCATAGCACGCTGTGCAACTTTGAGCTTCTGCCTTGAGTCGCTGATATAGCCTAACGGATTAGCAAGCTGAAGTGGCAATGGGCAGGGCACATAGGACGCAAAACTGACAGCTGATGGGGCAGCAAGATTCTGGAGTGGCTTCAACGCAAGGACACTGCTGGACAAAGGACGCCTCCAAGTATTTCCACGATACATCTCGCGCTTCCCGCAATATTCACTAGATCGTCGGTCCACCGAGTGCCATCCGGCCGCCCAGCGAGCCCACACCCCGCGCGGCGACCCCGACGGTGAGGAAGGCCACGACGCTGGTTTTCAGTGTGCCCCATGCCGAGAATATACTTTTATCTTTGTATTTATCATCATCATCATTTAAGCTGGGATGCGTCATCATCAGGTCATTTAGTATCCACTGCAGGAGTACGGCCCTCTCCAATTTGCCAGAGGCAAATGGAGGACATAGCCCGAAGGATTAGCAAGCTGAAGTGGCAATGGGCAAGGTTCTGGACGCAGCGTAAGACGTTCACTCACAAGGTGGACAGACAACGATCTCATAAAGGTAGCAGGAAAGCGCTGGATATGACATTCAGCAGTGGACGTCCTATGGCAGAAATGATAATGACATGAAGGATTTGGCCTACATTTCCCACGCCGGCCAAACGGATTGGAGAGACAACCCTTATTTCACTGTTTCAACGCAAGAACGTCCACTGCTGGACAAAGGTCTCCTCCAAGGATTTCCACAATGTCACATCCTTCCTGCAATATACACTAGATCGTCGGTCCACCTAGTGTCGCCCGCAACCTCAACATAATCATCTCTCATCAATCATCTTCTTAACCACTTGAAAAAAAGAGAAGATTCTCAATTAGAGTGTTATCTCCTATCGTCTCTTCTCCTTTTTCGTTTCATACTATCATCTTATCTCCACTATTCAATCTAGGTGACTTTATTTACAAAAAACAGATTTTTTTAAAACTAAGGCAAACTTAACTCTAAACAAAATAAAAATATAAACTTATTTTAGGTATTCAAAAATAAAAGTGTGTCCGTGAGGCAAAGATTTCCTCGCTGAATGGCAATATTATTCTGAGTTTTAACCTGTTAATGTTTCCAGGTTCCCACGTGCGCTCTCTCCGCGCGCCGTTGCTCCAACAAGCGTCGTTCGACGGGCCGTGGGCGGGCGGCGGCGTGCGCTACAAGCTGGACGTCATGCGGGGCGTGGCCTCGCGGCACCGCGCGCCCAGCCCCCCGCCCGCCCAGCACGCCAGGAGCGCGCCGGTCAGTGGAATAGCTTAGATTCGACAGGTTGGAGTGAGAGCGAGTTGGCGCATTGGCGCGGACGGCGCTCGCCATGCGAGGAACCATGGTTCAAACCTCAGGGTCGACAAAATTTGTGTAATTTGTAAAAATTGTTTAGCAAGTTTCTTAGATTGAAATATGCAAAAAAAAATGTTTCTTAAAAATTTGTGACAAAAAAAATGTGCGGGAAGAAATTCTCCTGTATTTACAGACAATGCGCGGGCGCATCCTATGTACTTCTAGAATCTAGATTCTTCCATCTAGTGGCTCTCACATCCTAGTAATGAGGAAAAGAGACAAAGAAAGCATGTCGCTTAGTAAACCATGCGCAAAGGCAGCAGCAGGTTAGTGCTTAGGGGTAGAAGAGAAGCCTTCTAGAGACTTCCATCAGGTGAGCCCTAGGGTCTCTGTAATGAAGATAGGAGCTTGGAGAACAGTGTTCTAGGGACTTTCATCGTGTCGCTGTCAACCATGCTAGGAAGAAAAGAGACAAAACACTTGTGACTTATGGTAGGTAGGCAGTAGTCTAGCATAGTCTCTTTGCGTGCGCTACAAGCTGGACGTCATGCGGGGCGTGGCCTCGCGGCACCGCGCGCCCAGCCCGCCGCCCGCCCAGCACGCCAGGAGCGCGCCGGTCAGTGGAGTATAAGCTAGTAGTTAGTAATTTCAGCGGAGTACAGTATAGGCCGGTTGGTGTATTGGTGCGGACGGCGCTCGCCATGCGAAGAACCATGATTCAAACCTCAGGGTCACAAAAATTTGTGTAATTTGTAAAAATTGTTTAGCAAGTTTCTTAGATAAAAATATGCAAAAAAAATGTTTCTTAAAAAAATCTAGTGAAAAAAAAAAACAAAAAGTGATATTTGTGAAAACGCGAGGTCAGTGGAGGAGTATCTTAGTGTAGCTTAGATTCGACAGGTTGGAGTGAGAGCGAGTTGGCGTATTGGCGCGGACGGCGCTCGCCATGCGAGGAACCGTGGTTCAAATCTCAGGGTCACAAAAATTTGTGTAATTTATAAAATTGTTTAGCAAGTTTCTTAGATAAAAATATGCAAAAAAAAAATGTTTCTTAAAAAAAATCTAGTGAAAAAAAAAAACAAAAAGTGATATTTGTGAAAACCAGTGAGAAGAAATGCCTACTGCCGTGGGCGGGCGGCGGCGTGCGCTACAAGCTGGACGTCATGCGGGGCGTGGCCTCGCGGCACCGCGCGCCCAGCCCCCCGCCCGCCCAGCACGCCAGGAGCGCGCCGGTCAGTGGAGTAAATAGACTAGTGTAGTTTCAGCGGGGTGAAGTAAGGGACAGTTGGTGCAACGGCGCTGACGGCGCTCGCCATGCGAGGAACCGTGGTTCAAATCTCAGGGTCAAAAGAATTTGTGTAATTTTAAAAATTGTCTTATATGGTTTCTTATATGAAAAATGCAGCAAAAAATGCAAAAAGAAAAATTTCTGAAAAATAGTAAATTCCTAACGAGAAGAAAAATACTGCAGTAAACAAACAAATGAACGCAAGCGCCATCTGTGTGAGTGATACTAGATTCTTCCATCTAGTGTCTCTCTCATCCTAATAATGAGGAAAAGAGACAAAATCGAGAATGTAGTATGTCCGCTTAGTGCCATCATGCGCAAAGGCAGCAGGTAAGAGAAATAGTGTAAGATGTTTCTTCTAGAGACTCCATTAGGAGAGCCCCTAGGTCTCTGTAAAGAAGATAGCGAGCTGGAAAATGGTGTTCTAGGGACTACTTCCATCTAGTGTCTCTGTCAACCATGCTAGGAAGAAAAGAGACAAAACACCTGTAGCTAATGGCCTCGCGCCACCGCGCGCCCAACCCCCCGCCCGCCCAGCACGCCAGGAGCGCGCCGGTCAGTGTACTAGCGTCTCTTTCAGCCTTGCTACGAGGGACAGAGACCAAGCGAGGAGCGCGCCGGTCAGTGGAGTAGCTTAGATTCGACAGGTTGGAGTGAGAGCGAGTTGGCGTATTGGCGCGGACGGCGCTCGCCATGCGAGGAATCATGGTTCAAACCTCAGGGTCGACAAAATTTGTGTAATTTGTAAAAATTGTTTAGCAAGTTTCTTAGATTGAAATATGCAAAAAAAAAATGTTTCTTGAAAATTTGTGACAAAAAAAAATGTGCGGGAAGAAATTCTCCTGTATTTACAGACAATGCGCGGGCGCATCCTATGTGTACTTCTAGAATCTAGATACTTCCATCTAGTGTCTCTTTCATCTTAGTAATGAGGAAAAGAAACAAAGAAAGCATGTCGCTTAGTAAATCATGCACAAAGGCAGCAGCAGGTTAGTGCGCTTAGGGGTAAAAGAGAAGCCTTCTAGAGACTTCCATCAGGCGAGCCCTTAGGGTCTCTGCAATGATGATAGGAGCTGGAAAATAGTGTTCTAGGGACTTCTATCTAGCGTCTCTGTCAACCATGCTAAGAAGAAAAGAGACAAAACACCTGTGACTCATGTAGGTAGGCAGTAGTCTAGCGTAGTCTCTCTGCGTGCGCTACAAGCTGGACGTCATGCGGGGCGTGGCCTCGCGGCACCGCGCGCCCAGCCCCCCGCCCGCCCAGCACGCCAGGAGCGCGCCGGTCAGTGTACTAGTGTCTCTTTCAGCCTTGCTACGAGGGACAGAGACCAAGCGAGGAGCGCGCCGGTCAGTATAGTAGCTTTTAGATTCGACATGTTGGAGTGAGAGCGAGTTGGCGTATTGGCGCGGACGGCGCTCGCCATGCAAGGAACCATGGTTCAAACCTCATGGTCTTCAAAATTGTCAAAAGCAGTGTGAACAGATTCGAAATACAGTGAGAAGAAATTTTACCCGTTAATAAACACATGCGCGAGCGCATCCTATACATATGTGCCATTTTGTCTCTTTAATCGTTTTTACGAGGTAGAGACAAAATAAATGTGCAGCGAATGGCAAATATGGTACAATAGTTTCGACGGGTAGATGGTTAGCGTTTCATCGTCTCTTTCTCTCTCTCTCTCTCATCTTTCTCACAAAGATAAGAGACAAAGTATGTAACATGGTTTTCGTGGCCTAACGTCACCAGTAGCGTTGTATTATAGATCGTTTCATATTCGTAAACGCGCCTCACCATTCTTCCGCTTATGTTTGAGTATTATCAGTACACGTTCATCCATAGATACTCGGATCAAACCCCGCGCCCTGCGCTTCCCTCGAACAAAAATTGGTGGGGCGAGTCTTCTTGTATGAAACAATCTATAGTATCTAATCTCTATGGTAATATGCAACTTGTATACTAATACTAATTCTACCCGTCTCTCTCGCAGAGCCTGTCAAGTACCTCTGGTAACAGCCCGCCGCGCGCGGTCCCCAAACCTGCCGAGACCGAAGGCCCGACCGTGTCGTCCCGGCTCGAGATACGCGTGCGTCCGCCCGACTCGGCCAGCCCGGGGCATGAGGGTGAGTTACATCACAATCCGTACATCCATAATCCATTCATCATCATCATCTGATGATGAGATGATGATTCATCTCAGCCATAGGACGTCCACTGCTGAACAAAGGCCTCACAAACGTTCACAATACATACCTTTACTATTTCATGTGTGTCAAGTGTATGCAGATAAATGATTTATCTATCTATCTACCTTCAAATATACTTCCATGCTTTCGTCCTTCTACGCTACCATCTATACTAAAGTTCGGTCGCCGAGCACGTAAAATTTCGTCCAATGACCCCTGGGTAGCTTGTGGTCATTGGACGAAGTTCTATCTGCTCGACGACCGGACCTTATACCTCGTTCGTGTCAGCCGAACGACGTCCACAGCTTGTCCAGCTGGCCTCCCACATGGATTTCCACAACGATTCACTGCGCCGCCAGCATCCAGGTAGGGTAAACCGTATAGCTATTGCCCACTTAAGATTGCAAACACATTGAAATGAAAAATTAAAGAAAGTATTTTAATTTATCGACCATTTATGACTTTTTTCTTATACCTCAATAAACTGTTAAACAGAATATTAACAATTTTTAGTTAAAACTTACGTAACTTAGAAAATATTGAAATCAATTTAAAATCCTCCAAAAAGTACAGTCATTGCCCATTACTTACACTAATTGCCCACATCACAGCACAGTAATTGCCCAGTATCTTAAAACAAAATAATCAATTTTAAAATGACAAAATAGGTTTTAAATAAACAAAACAAAACAAAACAAAACATTAAACTTAAATACTAGTAATACAGTCTTCAAAATTTCAAAATAAATTGCGTTTGGCCTTATTAACATATTATCAAATATTTCTTGAGCTGATGTTGACAAGTCAGAATCGGTAGAGACAGAATCATCTACTTCAAAACAAAGATGACTTGAATTTTATATGTATTTATTTTTTTATCTTCTTTGATATCAGTTCAAGTGGTTGCTCAGAATGTTCAATTAGCTGTTGGTTATTCTTCCCTAAAGTTGTATCTAATTCCTTACAATTAACTAGTAGATTTAACGTAGGATTGTAACTTTTTGTATTTGCGTTTGAATTTTTATCATTTTTTTTCAGCCAAACCATATTTTTCAGCAATTTATCCTTCAGATAAATTGTTGGATACATCTTGTACAGCTTCGATCGCTTTTTGCAAATTTTCTATGCTATATTGAACTTTTGGAGTCTTTGGCATACTGAAAATTAAACATTAAAAGCCGTTTCAATATTTATGCCTGTAAATTGCAAAACAAGTCTAGCAATGAGCAACTTAAACACTGCTACTGCATGGTGGCAACACTCTAATAATAATTGCCCTGGGCAATAACTATACATTAACATATGGCAATAACTGAAATGATGGTGGGCAATAACTAAAAATATACAGATTTACGTGCAGTGATTACCCACCGTTATAATGACCGTTAGAAATCAAATTTTATCAGTTATTTTCATTGATAATGGAGAAAACACTTATAATTTCATCATGACTATACACCATTAGTTGAATATTAAATAACTTGCAAAAAAAATTTAACCTCTAAGAAAGTAATTCCTTAGTAAAATTGTTAAAGTCTTTACCTGTTTGAGTAACATTTTCACCCGTCTTGACAAAATCCGCCATAACTGTATTTTTTTAGTGTTTCCTATTGTAAATTTTAAATCTACTTGTACATTGATCTCGGAGCCCTCTACTCAGTAAATTCAAATCTAACTAGAGTGATTCAAAGTCAGCACCTGACAATATTATTCTTAAAGCGGGCAATCACTACCAGTGGGCAATCACTCTCTGGTTTACCCTACTTCCCGCGACCTTCACCAGATCGTCGGTCCACCTAATGGGAGGCCATACTTAGTAATATTTAAATGCAAGGTAACTCATTCATTACCTTTTCTCGTGTCATGTACTCGTTAAAACAACAAAGCATGGCGATAAAGACTTGCTTTGATATTCTGAAATACCCGATATTTCTTTCTTTCTTCATTATTTGAATCTCAGTGTTTCCTTACATGCTAAAATTACTAAACTTCTTACGCGCTACGATAAAATCTTATCGACGATTTTAGACGACAAATGTATGGGTATATTATGCAGATTCGATAATTTTATCGAAGTTTATCGTGCCGCGTATTTTAGGCCTACAGTAAACGTTGTCGCTAGCGAGTGCCTTTGTGCGTTCTTGAAAGTATCCGCAAAGGGCGCTGTACAATATTTCATACATTTCAAGCATTTTTACGCAGTCGCTAGCGATAACGTTTAAAGTTGCACTAAAGTACGGCCAACTAGCAGCGATACAAAAGGTCGATTCGACTGTCAAACTGACAATCTATTCCGTCTCTTCCCATCTTGTGTATTTGCCGTAATGTCTCGTTCTCCCGCCAAAATATGTCACAGTCAAACCCTTAGGCTGGGTTGCACCATCTTACTTTAACTTTGACAAACGTCAAAAATCTGTCAAATGCCATACAAAAAGCACCGGTTATCGTCATAGTTACCGTTAAAGATAGGTGGTGCAACCCACCCCTACTATTCCAAATGACCATCACATTGAATTTGTTTGCATTTAGTATCGTTTCTCATTGGCCGTACTTTAAGCACACATATGACTTATTTCAATCGCTACTAACCGTACTATCTCGCGGACAATGCGCGATGTAAGACTGTAGTGTTGTGACGCGTTGCAGTCAAGATACACTCCGTCGTGAGCGGGGAGCCGACGCGGCCCGACGACGCTTCTGTCTACTACGACGCGACGGAGCACCAGCGGGACAAACGGTGAGTGACCAACAAATGGTTAAAAGTGGACAGCCCTCATCACTAACCCTTCATAAGGCAGAGGAAATTGGTTCCAACAAAAAAATCCTTAGTTATTTAAGGTCCAAAAGAAATATAAGCTTAGAACTTAGATCGCACACTCATATAATATGTATTTATTATTTGACAACTCTAATGTCAAACCTAATGAACCGTCATAGACGTGTGGCTGACATGGCTGAACTTGATCGGCCGACGTGACCTGTCATATCTTACCAAAATGCACTCATTTATTATGTATCTTACTAAAATGGGATGGACACATCTCAATGGCTCTTTTGGTGTAACATTTGTCATTTGTCAGTATTCGAATTTGGCTTTAGAACAAAACAAGATTATATATTATATGAGTTACATTACATATACATTATGTACTCACGGCTTGACGTTTCGGCTGCGTCGGCTGAAACGTCGCGTTAAGACCCGTGTCTTACTATTGTAATTGAAATGGAACGCGAAAGTTTAAAATCTTATGAGATTGTATGATTCGTTTTATTATAACAACTATTTATATTCCATAGGTCGTCGACACGCAGCGGAGACAAGAGCCAAAGTCCAGCAGTGGAGAAGACTCGGTTAGACGCGATACCTGACAGGTACGAATCAGATAAAATAAGTATATAAGTTCACTGTTAGAAATACGCTTTAAGGTCATAGCAGACTTATCAATCCGGAAAGGGATCAACACCGTTTCTTTCGCACGCTGACAACCGCGAAGCGAAGCAATTACATTACGATGCGTTGGTACGGTTACGATCCGTTTCCGGGTTGATAAGTGTCCTTCGTCCTTTGCCCAACGCAAGGTATCGATGAGACCGATTCTAAGCTATCGTGTAAGACCTCCATTGCTAATTTGACTTTTTATTTCAGTAACAGTCCGCCAGCGAATAAAAAGGAAACTACAAGCGGTTCCGGCGACGGATCTCAGAGCATGAAAGACGTGAGTGATTGCTGTTCAAAATTGTTTGTTTACTAACGTAAAATCAATTAGAAATGAACGCACTTTAAAAGTAAAAAAAAAAGTTACCTGTCAACGTGGCTGACAGTAATAGTCGTGATGACAACACCAATCGAATGACGTACTTTTTAAAACTGTCAAAACGAGACTCCCATAGATTTTTTATGGCAATACAAGCAAGTGACGTCGCCATTTTGTCAATTCAATTGATACCACTACTTTTTTCAATTCCATCGTTCCATGAAGTGTCGTTTTAAAAATGTTGTGATTTCGAATTATTGGGGAATGGTGTCAAATAGGATTATGTTGGTTTTCATTACTGACAGCTTTTCTTTTTCTATTCTCTAAGCGAATGCTAAATAATATTATTCCAATCTTAGTAAAAACAGTAAGTTGTTCAAGATAAGCGAACAATGCAACCTTCTTTTCGAGAGAGAAATAATTTCATTCTATCTAACATTCTTAAAGCAATATTCGGGCCCCTTCATTCTAAATTTTTTAGCCGGCCACCTACCTTTGAAATTAATTGAATTTGATTGGTGGCCCGTGGGGACAAAGCGCCCACAAACTGTTTTGTAAGATGTCTCAGCGCTTAGTTGAGTGAGACATGTTACGATACAAAGGCTGGCCTTTACTTTGGCCAACGCATCAGCCTTGCCATCCACCGTGGCAATGTGGCCAGCCTTTTGCGCATCTTCCCCCAAGGGAGCGACTTAAATGAAATCTATAATATATATTTTTTTATTTATAAAGCTTGTACATATTTTAATTTTTTCCCTTTTTTATTTAGGCCTGGTTTTTTGAGTCGTAGTTAAAATAACCAATAGTCAAATTTGACAGATGTCAAATGACAAGTGGTTAAATATCAGAAAAAAATGTTTTTCAAACAATGGTTAGCTTGACTTTTAGTACATTTTTTAACCATTAGTTAACATTTTGTTAATATTTAACCATTAGTAGCAAAATCTAACAATTTGTTATTTTAACTATGAATCAAAAAACTGGGCCTTAGTTATAGTTTAGTTAAGTAGTTATTTGTTAATACATAGTTGTATATTTGTTACGTTCAATAAAGTTATATTTGATTGATATGAAAAATACGCAATCGCTTACACAGCAAACGGTGACATAATTTATTTGTCCTTCTCCAGCGATGGTGGTGCGGCACGGCGTCCCGTATCCCGGTAGCGATGGGCGAGGCGCGTCTCGCCAAGTGTCTCTCGTGGAGCGGGGACGGGCCTCTGGCGCCGCCCGCCGCGCCTCCGCCGCCCCCGCTCGATAACAAGGATCTAACACCAGGTAAAGATACAGATACTGTGACCCAACCCTAGTAGACTAAGAGCTGGTGAACGCCAGACCTACGTCATTTTATAAAAGCTGAAAGTTTGTCAGCGTATACTCCCAATATAGGATAGATAGAGCTGATGAGGAAACAACTTCTAATCATTGTCCAAATATTATACATAAAAATCAGATTTACATTGCATACGCTGACAAACTTTCAGCTTTTATAAAATGACGTAGGTCTGGCGTTCACTAGCTCTTAGTCTATTAGGGACAATACCCATTGACCGGCGCGCGTCGGAGCGCACTTACACGGTCGTAAAGAATATAGTATTTTATTAAAGAATTTTAGAGTCGTTATTGCTTACAACTGATTAACTGACATTTCAATCCGGACGGATGCGCGAGCATGCGTCGGTAGCCGGTAGGCTCCGAGCGTATTCCAGCAGATACGCGCGAAACCTGCCTTAGAAGCCACGAGCCATCTTAGAAGGTAGCAGAAAGGCGTTGGAAGCAGGCCGCTACCAACCGTGCAATGTAGAAGTCATTGGGAGAGGCCTATGTTCAGCAGTGGACGTCCTGTGACTGAAATGATGATGATGATGATTTTGGTATTGTTTCTGTTAGTGTGACGTACTGCTCGTCCACAGTTCTGGCTATCCATTCCGGTCATATCATCTCGTTCTATCGCAAAGAATCACCATTTATTTAAAAATGCGAAAGAAAAAAAACGAAAATCGGTAGCTGGAAGTGTGGCCGATGATAGTACAGCCAGCGTGAAATAGTTCGTCACACCCAAAGAAGCCAAAAAGTTCGTAAAACGTCTTTGTTATGTTGTGTTTTTGGCAACTTTGACCGTCATGAACTACACTCGCGAGCAAAAATATGGAATCACCCCATTTATTCCGAGGAATCATAAGAACTAAATGACTAATAGAAGTTCAATAAAAATGGTACCATTTTAAAGGTGATATTATAAGCTTAAAATTGATACCATAGATACATACAATACGTAGTCATTCAGTTCTTAAGACCGCTCGGAACACAAAGAGGTGATTCCATACTTTTGCTCGTAAGTATAGTTGTTTCTGACTGTAAAATAAAGTGCATTTGTTTGTACATATTATTTTAGTTAGCTTAATAGAGCTGTCTTCAGCTTTTCACCAGATATATGTTTGTTAATAAAACCATAATCTCTTAGCAATGAAGTCTTCTGGTAGGCAAATTGGGAACGGGATCAATGTCTTTCGAAATATTTAGTGCTGTTTTGATATGTGTGATACTTAAATGCGCTTTCATATCCTTTAAAGACTGGTCAATGACCTATCTAGATGATTGCTTTATACTGCACTATGATTAGCAGGATCATCTTCATATTCAAACATAACCGAGTTTTAGAAATCTAGTTCTGTTCTAACTTCTAAGTGTCTCTCGTTAAGTGGCATCGGGCCCTACGCGCTCCTTGCCGTGTGACCACGTGACTACAAGGACTTAACACCAGGTAGGCGTATACGATAGTTAACTTATGGAGATGTCGCTGGCTTTTCACCACATAAGTATGACTGTATATGCCTGGAAATAACTATTTCGGATGATATTTCATAATTCAATTAGGAACTGTGTAGATAATTTTGTATTTTCTAATACCTATAAACTCTCTCATACCACTGCTGTACACTTATCTTGTTATTGTAACCTGTTTTGAGACAAATAAATACTTAAGCTAAGTAATTTTATCTATTTTAATATCTTAATAAATACTTTCTATCTAAATAGTGTTCTTGTATGCCTTTATCAGGTTAATATTGACACTCCTACGTAACTAGAATATCATAGCATGGTGAAGCAATAGAATCATATTTTTCTAACTCTTATCATGGCACAAACAATATCACTTAAGCTTTAAAGTAAGGGGCCATCCATTTATTACGTCCCACGTAAAGGGGAGGGTGGAGATCGATGAAGTGTGACATTGTGTGACAAGAGGGTGGGAGGGGTCCTAAATTTCGTGACGTCACTTTTTGTTTTGATAATTACTTGAAATGTTTGATTTGATGTTAATTTTATCATTTATGTTAATAAAACAAATTTCAGAACTTTTAATTCAATAATTATTTATAAAATATGTGACGTCACACTAGGGAAGGGAGGGGCGTCTCACAAGATATATCCAGCTGTGACATGGATTCATAGGGGGTCAAAAATCATGAAATTTGTTTGACGTAATTTATGGATGGCCCCTAATGCGAAGTCACGATAGTTCTAACTAAAATCCGGTCGCCGAGCAGAATTTCGTCCAATGACCCCAAGCTACCCATCCTAGCAAGCGAGAAGGATGGGTAGCTCGGGGTCATTGTACGAAATTCTATCTGCTCGGCGACCGGACTTTAACAGGATATACCGCTAACCAGCCCGTTTGTCCGCAGGGCTGAGACGGCGGCGAGCGAACCCCAACGACAAATACGCGGTGGACCCGGCGCGGGAGTTGAATCTGCGTTTCGCGCGCCTCCGCCATCGCTGCCCACAGCATTCGCGCTCGCCGCCCACCAGGTTTGTTCGTTCGTTCGTTTCAGCCGAATGACGTCCACTGCTGGACAAAGGCCTCCCCCAAGGTGTTCCACAATTAGAGTTTGCAATCCGGATTATTCGAAATTCGAAAATATCTGAAAAATCCGGATTTTGAGGCTTTAAAGAAATCCGGATTTTTACTTTAAAATCCGGTTTTTTCGAATATTTTTACCCCAAAAATTTTATCATAAAATCATAAACCAAAATATCTATTGAATGCAACATGGATGTATAACAAGCGAAGTTTTGATTGAACGAACCCGCACTTCGTCGCACAACACTCACACCTGCACTGTGCCTGCACAATGACGCGTCATGCCGCATGCGTAAGTGAATTCGCTAGTCGGCCAGTGAGTTTTATACGAGACGCTGATTCTGAAACACCATATCGCTGAGTTTTAAAGTGTAAGTCATTATCATCATCATGGATCAAACTTGGAGTGCAAGTGTGGTTTTGTTCCCCAGTCGACGAAGCACATGATGTCGTGCCCTGCGTGCCCAAACAACTGCAAGCAGGAAGATTTAATGAAGGCTACTGACAACGCCACTCTTGTGGCGGAGTTTTGGGCTGACGCTGTGTAGGTTTGTTGTCGACACAACAAGAAGAAGAATAAAAAAAATATTTTTATAAGTACTACAAGCAAGTTTTTATTATACTGAAATACATTTGTACAAAAACGAAAAAAATAATGCAAGGTTCAAATAATTTCGAAAGCTTGTAGCGCAAACCGAAAAAAAGAGGAATAAATTCCATGCGCGATAATAAAATAAAACGCTTTTCTTCAAATACTTACATCTTTTTGAAAAAAACTACGTTTTATTTAAATTAAATTGATGGTTTACAAAATTTACCCAATATTCGAAAAATCCGGATAATCCGGATTTGTACGTAACACAAATCCGGAAAACCGGATTTAAGAAAAATCCGGATTTTGCAATCTCTATCCACAATGAACGGTCCTGCGCCCGCATCCACGCTCTTCCCGCGACCTTTACCAGATCGTCGGTCCACCTAGTAGGAGGCCTGCCCACGCTACGTCTTCCAGCCGGTGGTCGCCACTCGAGAACTTTCCTACTCCAACGGCCATCGTCTCTACGAGCTATGTGCCCCGCCCACTGCCACTTGATTTTAGCAATTCTGCGAGCTATGTCGGTCACTTTGGTTCTCCTGCGGATCTCCTCATTTCTGATTCGATCACGCAGGGAAACTCCGAGCATAGCCCGCTCCATCGCCCTTTAGGTGACCTTGAGCCTTTAGCCCACTTTAGGCAAGGGGGGATAATTGGCGGTTCTTTTTCAAGGGAGGGGGGGCTTATATGCTATGTTACCGGGCGGGAGTGCGATTAGTATCATAGCTCATGAGTTAGTATATTCAAATTCATCATTTCACTTTCTAATATTTATTAGTTATTCAAATTTATAGTTATTCAAATTTATGTATGCGAGTCATTTCTACTAGTATCTTAATATGTAAGTCTAGATATTAGCACGTCACTACCTTGTTTAATATACCACGCAATCTTGTATACCCATTCTTATAAGATACACCATACAAGAATGCATGGTAAATTCAGTGAACTGCTCCTGAATCGAATGTACCTACTACTACTATTTATATTTATTTATATTAACCGGCAGACAGTGGTGACTGAGTTTGTTGCGGCGCTTCTTCTCAGCACTTGCCAAATGTTGGTCTCGAAGCGCTGGTAGGGTAAAAAGATTATGAGACATGTAGAGGCTCCTTAAGAGCAAAATGACGATTTGTAAGAACTATTTATTAGTCTAAACAAATAAAGAAATTTTGACTTTGACTTTTGACTTTGACTTTCTGCCCGGCCGGGAATCGAACCCGGGACGTCTCTGCATACTAGTCCGTTCTGAACCACTACACCAAACAGCCGACAGAATTTCGATGCTAACTCGTGACTTCAAGCAACGAGTGGCCTATTTGAGTAAAGTGACTCAGAGATGGTGAACGAGGCTTTTAGTGTTAGCGTGTTTGTTCATTTTATAAAAGGCAGTGGGAATATAGTACCCACCTTATTTTGAACCTTATTCGCTTGTCTTATGGTTCAAAAACAATGAAAGCCGTTGCTCACTAAAAGCCGACGGTGTCCACTGGGGCCCAAATCCTAGCTCGGACATTCGTCCGCAGATGATGACTTAGGTTAGCCTTTCGAACTAAGCGTCACTGACACAGCGTCTTTAGCTTTGGTCTTGAAGGTAGCCTTTGGAAGCGAGTTTGTGACGCGGCGTTGGTGGTACAAGACCAAAGCTAAAGACCTGCGTCTGTGACGCCGCGACAGAGCGACAAAATATAGATGTTCTATGCAAATGTATGGAATTCTAGGGAACGTAATTCGAACGCAGCGACACTGTCGCGGCATTAGTGACGCGGCGTTGGTGGCACTAGAGACTAAGACTGAGCTAAAGACGCTGCGTTTGTGACGCTTAGTTCGAAAGGCTACCTTAAATCATCATCTGCAGACGAATGTCCGAGCTAGGATTTGGGTCCCAGTGGACACCGCCGGCTTTTAGTGAGCAGCGGCTTTCATTCTTTTTGAACCTTAAGCGAATAAGGTTGATTGATGGATGATTCTTACTGACCAATCTGTTTGTCGCATCCAGAAGCGAGTCCCGCGGCGTGCCGTCGCTGCTCATGTCGTCGCCGCCCGCGTCGGGCTCGTCGTCGTCGGGCTCGCCGCCGCCCGCGCCGCGCGCGCCCGCCGCGCCGCACCACAACGCAGCGCGCGCGCGACGCTTCCGACCGCTCTCCATCGCGCCATAGGTAGGTCAGTATTTCAGCGGGTGAGTTGGGAGGACGGTTGGCGCAATGGTTGAGAAACGCGCTCGCCATGCGAGAAGACACGGACTTCAAATCTCGGAGAAAAATACAAAAAGAGGTTTGTGAATTTGTTTCTTTCTTAGAAATTGTGTTTAGAGAAGATTCTTGATAGAAAATAGAAAATTCCAGAAAATAAAAAAATCCAAAAAATTTAAAATTCCAGAAAAAAACTTTAGAGCAAATCATAGTGTCTAAATACAGGATTTAGGGAAACAGTGGGGGTATATTCAACGGATTATAGTACTAAAGTACTGATGAATAAAGTTGAAAATCTCGTGGTTTCCTCTACTCTAGCGATGAATGTAGCAGATAGTAAGTCCTTGGTAGAAGAAGAAAGAAACTTATGAGTTTGTAACCAATGGAGGAGATCTAATCGAAAACAGCTCTAAAGTACTAAGCAGTATAGACCACTATAGAAAGTTCTGGAGCATTAGGGGAAGTGACGCAAGCAACTATATCACTAAGCAAACAAGCACCGGTGGCAGTATAGAATGTTCTAGAGTAGGTTACTACTTACTACTAAAGCTCTAAGCAGCAAGTCTCAGTTTGCCCTCTACCCGGGCTCGTCGTCGTCGTACTCGCCGCCGCCCGCGCCGCGCGCGCCCGCCGCGCCGCACCACAACGCAGCGCGCGCGCGACGCTTCCGCCCGCTCTCCATCGCGCCATAGGTAGGTCGGAGTTTCGTAGGGGGGTGTAGGAAGACGGTTGGTGTAGCGGTCGCGGTGCGCGCTCACCACGCAAGAAGATCCGGACTTCAAATCACGGAGAAAAATGCAAAAAGAGGTTTGTGAATTTGTTTCTTTCTTAGAATATGTATTATTGTAGAAAATTCTTAGAAAAATGTGTAAAAAATAAAAATTGTGTTAAAAAATATTCTGTAGCGAATTTACAGTGTGTCATATTGGATTTAGGAAAGCAGTAGGGCGAGTCCAAGCAATTATAGTCCTAAATTACTAAGCAACAAGGACGATATTAGAACAAGATTTCTCCAGCTAGATTGCGCTAGTGACGTAACCAATTATGGAACAAAAGTGCTGAGTAATAAAGCTGAAAATCGCATGACTCCTCTACTAATAGTCATTCTGCTGAAGTAACTAAGGTTTCTCCCGTCCTAAGAGCAAGTATGAGCTGTCTTGGTAGAAGAAAGAGACTTGTAACAATGAAGACTCGACCGAAAATAGCTCTAAATACTAAAGCGCGCAATATCACAGAAGGTTCTAGAACGTTAGGGGAGGTGAGTTCAACCGACTATAGCACTTGCAGCAAAGACTCCCGGGGGAGTCCAGTGGTGATTCAAGCGACTATATAGCCCTTAAGGTCTAAGCAGCAAGACTCAGTATGCCCTCTACCCGGGCTCGTCGTCGTCGAGCAGTGCCGGATTAGCCACGTAGCAAGAGTAGCAAATGCTACGGGCCCCGCGAATTTGGGGGCCCCGCGCTCCAACGCCTGTCTGACCGAAATAAAAAAAGATTCAGTTAGATAGTTTCAGCAATGAATAAGTTAGAAACGGGAATAATGACAATTACATGGAACGCATGCAAGCGACTAGTGCTTCGCTACTGCAGTGGCGAACGTTCTTTTTTAACATTAAAACGTATTAAAAACTAGCGGCCGCCCGCGACTTCGTACGCGTTCGTACCCAAAACGGGTACCCTAACCCCCTTCATCTACGCGGCTTAGATTTTTTCCCGCTAACTCTCGTTCCCGTAGGAATTTTGCAATATCCTGTTGTAACTAAGCTTTAAGTTTCCTAAGGTACCTGCATGCCTTTCAAGCGTCTAACTTAAGCGGTTTAGATTTTTCATACAAAACGATTTTCCCGCTAACTTCAGTTCCCGTGGGAATTTCAGAAATTCCTTGTTGTAACTAAGCTTTAAGTTTACTAAGGTACCTACATGCCAAATTTCAAGCGTCTAACTTAAGCGGTTTAGATTTTTCATACAAAAGGATTTTCCCGCTAATTCTCGTTTCCATGGGAATTTCGGGAATTCCTTGTTCGTTCGTTCGTTTCAGCCGAAAGACGTCCACTGCTGGACAAAGGCCTCCCCCAAGGATTTCCACAAAGACCGGTCCTGCGCCGCTTGCATCCAGGTACCTCCCGCGACCTTTACCAGAACGTCGGTCCACCTAGTGGGAGGCCTACCGACGCTACGTCTTCCAGCTCGTGGTCGCCACTCAAGAACTTTCCTGCCCCAGCGGCCATCAGCTCTTCGAGCTATGTGCCCCGCCCACTGCCACTTGATTTTAGCAATTCTGCGGGCTATGTCAGTCACTCTGGTTCTCCTACGGATCTCCTCATTTCTGATTCGATCACGCAGGGAAACTCCGAGCATAGCACGCTCCATCGCTCTTTGGGTGACCTTGAGCCTTCTTATGAAGCCCATAGTAAGCGACCACGTCTCAGATCCGTACACCATCACTGGCAACACACACTGGTCAAATACTTTTGACTTGAGACACTGCGGTATTTCGGACGTGAGAATTTCGCGAAGCTTCCCGAACGCTAAAAACTGGTTACTGATCCTGAAAGTGCTTCACGAGCTCTATCCAACGGTACCAATAACAAGTTACAAAATAAACTGGATCTATCCGAAAATTCAATGTTTCCAGCTTCCATACATTTAGTACTGCCACAGTCATGGCACTCATGTCTTGATAAATTATAGCAAGTAAAGCCTAAAACCAATATTTTCCATGATTAATTGTAAATTAGAATGCAATTTACGAGTTCAATTTAAGTGTTTATTATTTAATAAAAAAATTAACACTTCCAATATTGTGTGGCTGGCATACTGAAAACATTTAATTTTCGGTTACTTATACTATTGG